AGCCTTCTTTCTTCCGCTTTTTCCCGCCTTTTCGCCCCTCCACAGCTGATTGGTTGTGCACCAAGTCCCGCCCCCTCGCTTTTCCCGCCTACTCAGGAGCGGCCGCGGCCGGGGGCGTGGCCAGAGCGGACGTTGGGCTGCCCGCCGTTGGCTGGCTGCGCGTGGCAGCCCCGGCCCCGCCTCAGTCCTCCCGGGAGTCTCGCGACCGCTCCGCCCCCTTCCCTTTGAAGCGGGGACAAGGAGACGATTCTGCTGCGCACGCGCCGCGCCCAAACAGGGCGCGTGGTGGAGCAAGGCAGGCGTATCGGGCAGGCGCAGTCGAGACGTCATCAGACGAAATGGAGTACCCCGCCCCGTGACCCAGGTTTTGCGCATGCGTCTTACTGCTGGATGAAGCCGAACCTCGGGGACCGAGGACGCCTTCCGGCACATGCGCAGGAGGCTCAATGACAATCGAGCGTTGGCTAAGGTGAGGGGAGGGCGGGGGATTGCATGGCCCCGGGAGGGCGGCCCTGCACCCCCTTTGTAGCCTTAATGAGCATCCCCTAACGAGCATGCTCCTGAGATCCACCTCATCGCCTAGACCCCACAGAAACCAGATGTACCACTAAAGGGTGTCCGTCTGGGCCCTCAAAACGCCCCAGGACATAAGACCTCTGACCCTGCCCTGGTACCCAGGTCAACTGAGCGGTGTGGGAGAGGACGGGCAAGAAGGGCTCTGAGGCGGGCGATGGCCTCTGCGCCCCGCCTGGGGTAGGGACAGCCCTGGGACAGGGAGGTGGAGAGGGCGCTTTTCCTCCAGATGGCCTTTGACCCCTGCCCATTTCCCTCGTTTAGGCTCCGGGGACAGGGTCTGGCCATGCTGCACGTGACCCGGGGGGCCTGGGGATCTAGGGTCCGAGTACGGCCCCTGTTGCCCGCGCTCCTCGGGCCCTCTCGGGCTCTGACGTCGCTGGCGGCCAAGATGGGGGAGTACCGCAAGATGTGGAACCCCACGGAGCCCCGCGACTGGGCCCAGCAGTAAGCGTTTCATCCCGTTCTCCAAGGAGCAGCTGCTCCGCCTCCTCTGATGCAGGCCGCCCGTCCCGGGTCCGGGAGCCCGGGGACTACGACTCCCGGCAGGCCTTGCGGCGACAGGACCCTACACGCTATAGAGGGCCGTCTTGGCCCCTCCTGGGAGATGTAGTTCCCGTTCCCCTTAGAGTCCCCAGTGGGCGCGAAGTGAATCGGAATATAGGAGCAGGCAGACCTCTGAGATGCAGATAGATGTAGCAGCAATTCCTGACTCTGGCTTGTTCTGGGGGCTTGAACCCGTATTCTCTGGGGCGTGGTTTTTCTCTCTGCAAAGTAGGTATAATAATCATCTTTGTCATTACTATTACGACTACCTAATAATAATAATACCTACAGAGCTATAACATAATTATTACCATACTTTTTGAGCTTTTACTATATGGCACTGTGCTAAACATGTTCCGTGTATTATTGAATCATCGGAACCCAATCAGAGAGATACCACCATCGTCCCCATTTTATAAACGAGTCCTCATTTTATAAACAAGGCCATAAAGCAGGAGGAGACAGTGACGAACATAAATCATTGGTTGAATACATGTGCTCTGGACTCAGCCAGGCCTGGATCGGAGTCTCAGCTTCTCTTTAGACATTGCGGCCTGTAGCAGGTGACTTCCCCGAGCCTCAGTTTCCTCCTCCAAAAAATAATTATGTCATCGGCCTCCTTGCATCTCTGGAGGGTGATGCCATGCCAGCAAGCAGTGCCTGGCACGTAGTAAGCATTGTGTCAGTGTTGGTGAGTAAGTGTCAAAGTGAGAACTGAAATGAACCTCTAGCTCCTTCAGCCGTCTGTCTTTCACTATATCTGGCTACCTCAAATACCCTCCCCAAACCCCCAAATAAAATGACATTTTTCAAAGCCCAGAGCTCTGGCTGTGTGTGTGGGCTGCTAGGGAAAGGATTCTTCCCCGTGCGGAAGGGGAAAGAGGCCTAAAGAGCAGTTTTGCTTCCTGAGGTAATAGGAATTTCACTCCAGTCCTACGGAGAAGGCGGCTTTGGAGGAGTTCTCGGTCCAGGTGGACTCCTGCACGCTGTTCCACTACCACCACCTCCTGGCCCGGCTGCAGGTGAGGATGGGGCCCCTTCCTCTCGTGCCTGTTTGCTCATCCATTCATTCAGCAAAAATTCTCTGAGCACCTGTGTCGAGCCTGGCCCTTTCTAAGCCCTTGGAGATGCAGCGAACAGGAAAGATGAAGCCGCGCCCTTGGGGAGCCAACATTTCAGTTGAGGAGACAATAAATAAATATAATATATGATACCCAGGAACGGTAAGTGCCGTGAAGAACAATGAAGAAGAGATTGAAGCAAGATAGGGAAGGACGAGATGGGGGCCTGTTTCAGACAGGTGCTCAGGGAAGGCCTCTCTGATGAGGAGGTGACAGGTGAGCTAAGACCTGAGTGAAGAGAGGGAGCCTGCCTGATGGATGTCTGGGGGAGGGCGTTCCAGACAGAGGGAAAAGCAAGTGCCAAGGCCCTGAGGTGAGAGAGGACCCGGAGTGTTGGGGAAACAGCAAAGCGGCCGCTGTTAGTGCAGGAGACGAGAGCAGAGAGGGAGCGGGAGCAGATCGTGCCCGGCCTCGTGGGCCGCGGTGAGGACTTTGCTTTTACGCTGAGTGAGCTGGGAGCCACGGGAGGGCTCTGAGCAGAGGAGGGACGGGAGCTGATTTAGGTGTTAACAGGATCCTTCTGCCTGCTATGCAGGGAACAGACTCAGAGGCAGAGATCTATTCAAGAGTCCATTATGTGTGTCCAAGAAGGAGGTGATGGCAGCTCTGACCGGAGTAGCAGCAGCGGAAGTGAAAAGTGGTCAGACGCTGGTGGTTGGGGGGAGACTGTAGCATTCTGTGTGCCGGCATGGCGACGAGGGACAGGGAGGAGGCAGGGGCCTCCCATGGCCCGGTCTGCCCCTTGGGAAGGATGGAGCTGTCCGCCCTGAGATGCTGAGGCTGGGGCGGGAGCGTCTGTGGTCTGCGGGGAAGGTCGAGAGCTCAGTTTTGGACTTAACGGGGTCTGAGCTGCCTATCAGACAGTGAGGTAGGGAGGCGGACTCGAACGTGGGGTCTGGAGGTCAAGGGAGGAGCCTGGGGTGAGGAGCAACCCCGGTGGCTCTCGATGGCACTTGATGGGACCATGAGGGGAGTTAGCGGAACCCTGAGGTGTGCCAGCCTTGAAATCAGGAAAGGGAACTGGGGCCGGGAGGGGGACACGGGCGAGGAGCAGCCAGAGAGGGAAGTGGCGTGTCAGGAGAGGGTGGTGTCGAAGCCAAATTCTCAGCCTCCTCGTCCTCCTCCCAGGGCCCTGCCTGTGTTGGGGGTCCCCACATCCACCCTCAGAGTCACTGACTCTCTAGAGGGACTGCCAGAGCTCAGAAAGGCTGGTACGCTCATGGCGATGGGTCAGGGTCTGGGAGAGACCAGGTGGCAGCTACCAGTTGTCCTCCCCCAGTGTTGTCGCAGGGACGGCTGACATGCGGCAGCGCACGTGGAGCACCGCCAGACAGGGAGGCTCGCCCGGGCTGTGTCCAGGGTTTTCACAGAGGTCAGTCACGTGGCCCCGGCCAACGACCCGTGCCACCTGTGCGGCTGCCTTAGCTTCTCAGTCCCCAGCCCCTCCAGAGGTCGCACTGCTACCTCACGGCCCAAGGCCCCCACCATCAGTCACCTTGTTGGCGTAGACTATCCGGTGTGGCCCAAGGCCCCAGGTAAAGCGAGACACTCTAATCAGGCAGCGGTTCCCTCCCAGGAGCAGGGCGTCCGGACCATCCGGGTCTGCTGAGTTAACCCTTTGCTGCGCACTGCCACGCCCTCTCACAGGTCCCCTCCTTGCTCTGAATAGTAGCAGCAGACAACGGCCCCTCCTTGCTGAGCGCTCACTCCGTGTCGGGCTCATTGACTCTGTGCTGTGGCACCAAGGACCAGCCGCCGTCAGCCGCGTCTGCAGAGGCAGAAACGGAGGCTCTGAGAGGAATGTGCTCAAGACTGCACAGTTCGCGAGGGTGCCCCTGTCCGCCTGCCTCCAGGCTCTTACCTGGGGCACCTGTGGCCTCTGGCGGCAGGTGTTTTTTTTTTCTTTTTAAGTTATTTTAAAAAGATATTTATTGCATAAACATTTAAATATATAGAAATGTAGAAAGAACAATAAGCGAAGATGCATATTCCCACGGAGGCAGGAGACTTTAAACTGAGAGCGGCTGGGTGGAAGCACCAGAGGCAGATGAGACACACTGGGTGACCATTTGCTAATGACCCGAGTCCCTTGAGGAAGTGGCCTGGGGCAGGAAAAGAATTAGAATAGCCCAGCCTCAAAAGCCGGCTTTGTTCACTAGCCGTGCAGGTGACCTTGGCAGGTGACCTCTCTGCGCTCCGCCTTTCCCTTACATGAATTCACTCAGTAGATATTTGTTGAGCACTTACTGTGTCCCCCATAGGGTTCCGGGTCCTGGGACACAGCAGGGAGCCTGACAGGTGTGTGCCTCTGCCTCACGGGGTCACATTCTAGTGAGGGATATTGACTCTCAACAAGGTAAAGAAGGAAAACGTGTTAAAGATGCTAAGGGCTGAGGACAGGGTTGCCAGGTACAGCGCAGGACGCCCAGTTCATTCTCTGCTGCTGCCGTGACACGTCGCCACGGACCGCGTGGCATAAAACGACAGAAGCTCGTTCTCAGAGGTCAGACGGCCGGAAGTCTGGAATCAGGGTGTGGGCGGGCGGTTTCTTCTGGATGCTTGGAGGAGGGGACCGTCCCAGGCCTCTGTCCTAGCTTATGGTGGCCGCTGGCAATGCCTGGCGTCCCCGGCTTGTGGACGCATCACTCCAGTCTCCATCTCTGTCTTCGGTCGCCTTCTCCGTGCCTCTGTGTCCTTTTCTGTCGCTTATGCGGACACTGTCATTGGATTTAGGGCCCACCCTTATCCAGTATGATCTCTTTTCGATCCTTAGTCACACCTGCAAAGACCCTATTTCCAGATGAGATCACAGGGGGACATGAATTTTTAGGGGATACTATTCAGCTCTCTATACCCAGTTAAATTTGAATTTCAGATAAGCTGTGGATATGTATATATTTTTAAGTATCATACAGTCCCATGTACCACAGTCTGTGAATACTACATGGGACATACTTAAACTGAAAAATTATTCATTGTTGATCTGCAGATCAGTTTGGCGTCCCGTATTTTATTTGATTTATTTTTGCCTAAATCTAGTAACCCTAATCAAAGAGAAAAAGAGAGCAGAGGTGTCTTGCAGTTGTAGGTAGAGCAGTTAAGGAAGGCCTCGCCTCACCGAGGGGTGACATTGGAGCAGAGACCTGAAGGAGGCAAGTGAGCTGTGTGCCGAGTTGCAGGAATTTAAGTGCAAAGGCCCTGAGGAAAAAAAATAGGTAGGGAGCGAGGAGGCCGGAGGGGCTAGAGCTGAGTGAGTGAGTCGGGGAAAGGCTGGTGACAGGGCAGAGGGGACATGGGGAGGTCTTTGACGGTGAGTTGGAAGCCACCGGAGGCTCTGAGTAGAGGGACATGAGGGGACTTAGGTTTCAGCAGGCGCCCCCTGGTGACCGTGTGGGAGTGGCTGGGGGTGGAGGGTAGAGTGGAGGGTAGGATGGAGGGTGGGAGCAGGGAGACCAGTGCAGAGGCCACTACAAGAGTCTGCAGGACAGAGTGGCTCAGTCAGGGGTCAGGGGGCTGCGGGGAGGGTGAGAAGTGGTCGGATTTGGGATCTATTTGGAATGTGTCGCCATCAGGATTTGCTGATAGGTTGAATGCGTGAGAAAGAGAGGTAGGTGCCCAGGATGACCCAGGGCTGTGAGCCGGGACCCTGGAAGGATGGACTCGGCCTCTTCTGAGCTGGGCGGATGGCGGGAGGTGTGGGGAGTAGTTTGGGACCCCAGTTTGGGACGTGCAGTACACAGGGTTTGAGAGGCCGCCTGTCAGACGTCGGTGAGGAAGCGTCGAGTAGGCTCTCGGTTGTGTGAGTCTGGAGCTCAGGAGAGATGGCGGGACTGGAGACAGATCTGGGGGTCCCCAGGAGACAGATGGTACTCAGGTCCCCAAGGGGATACTCGAGGCTAGAAGATGGCACCAGCGGCCACGGAAACTCAGTGACATCTTTCATCCTTTGAGTCCACGTTTGCGTGAGGTCCGGTGCCAGAGGCCAACGCGAGCCTGCGCCCTGCCCTCAGGAAGCTCAGGCTGGGTGGTGGCGACAGTCGTGAGTCAGACGCTCTCTCCCAAGTGAATGGACACGTCCAGGTTGGAACCAGAGGGACAGGGTCCGTGCGAGCAGATAACAAACCTGGCCTCGGTGACCGTACCGGGTCTGCGTGCACCCCTCCCCCAGCTTGGCACGGTCTGAGGCATCCACGATGGTGCCTGTGTGCAGCGCGTGCCCTGCCCAGCCCCACAGCACAGCCCTGGGCAGCCTAGGGATGGAGGGAGGCTTTTTGAGAGTGACAAGGACACTGGGATATGGCAGAGAAGTAGGACTTCGGTAGTGAAAAGGCAGGGAGGCAGGGAGAGGATTCCCAGCAGCTTGTGCAAAGTCCCTGTGCCCGGAGGAGCAAAGGCCACGAGAGTGACAAGGACACTGGGATAAGGCGGAGAAGTAGGTCTTCGGTAGCAAAAAGGCGGGGAGGCAGGGAGGGCGCCAGGGAGAGGGTCCCAGCATCATGTGCAAAGTCCCTGTGCCCGGAGGAGCAAAGGCCAGTGGCCAGTGTAGAGCGACCAGGAGAGAGCGTGGTGTCGGGTCCCAGAGGGAGGCCTTGCAGGCCAGGCCTTGCAGAGCACGGCCTCCTTCTTGAGGGCGGCCTTGGAAGGTTCTCGCAGATCAGCACGGTTGGATTGGGACTTCTGATCTACCACTTGCCGGCTGTGTGACCTCAGGCAGTTACTTGGCCTCTCTGTGCCTCGGTTTCCACATCGATAAAATCGAACAGCAATGGTACGATTCGCGCATCGTGAGAACCTGCTTCAGATAGGGCCTGGCACACAGTAAGCGCTACATGAATGTGCACCTTTCTCATTTATTACTGTCACTGTTACCGTTTGACAGGGTCTCCCCGGGGGCTGAATGGAGGACAGACCTGCAGGGGAGCGGGGAGGGGTTTAGGGGAGACCCTTGAGAAGGCACTTGGACTCATCCAGCCAGGAGGAGGTGACTGTGGTGTGGACAGAGGGGAGAGAGCCACATGAGGTGGCGATCTGTTTTGGACGCGGGATCAGTGGGATCTATTCTGCAAGGGGTGGGAGCAGCCGGGAGTCACCTGCGACATCCGGGTTTCTGGCTTGAAGCCCCGGGCGGATGTGGAGTTCCCAGGAAAGGATCTGACTCGCAGTGGACCCCTAATGAACGTGGTCTTTCCCTCCTCCAGCCTGAGATTTCCTCATTCAAACTGCAGCTCGGCCTTGGGAATGGAATTTCTCAAGGTCACTGCAGGAGCCACCATATGGCCTGCAGGACCTGCCCTGTCAGCAGGGGCCAAAGGGCTTGGGCACAGGCCTTCGCTTTGGCCTCGGGTTCTGTCCTTGGCCAGCCCGCCCAGCCCTGGGCGTTAGTTCAGATTAGCTGGGCTCGATTCTCCCCGTATCACCCATCTGTCTCCTGGTTCAGTTGTTCCTGCGCCCCAGGACCTTCCCAGCTCCAGACTCTGGCCCGGGCCACTCCTCCACTCGGAGTCCCCTCCCCTCTTTCCTGCCGCTAATGCACAGTCACACCTGGCCGTCTCACCTGAGAGACACACAGAGGGCAGGTTTCTGGGTGATTTCCCCCTGAGGCGTGTTCCTCGCCTGGGGTGTCTGGGACAGTCATCTTTCATCCCGAAACTCAATCTCTCCATGAGCAAAACGGGCTCAGCAACTGGCAGCTCGCGCTTCCATTCATTCAGCAGTTTTTGGGGTGGGTGGGTGCAGAAGATGAGGTGGGCAAGGCAGAGGCTAGTTCTGTGGGGAGCTTGAAGATTGCAGAAAGATTCTGGAAGGATTCCCAATGCGGTGAGAAGCCATCGGAGGGGCAGGGTGCGGGGTCTGTTTGTAATCTAAATAGGCTCTTTGTGACAGCCGCATGGAGAATGGTTTGCAAGGGTTGGGCTGAGAAGCAGGCAGAGGGGAAGCCCAGCGCGGTGGCGGCGGTGGCGGTGGTGGCAGTGGTGGTGACGTAGGGGAGAGGCGAAGGCGGCTGGGTGAGGAGGTCGCCATGGCGATGGACGGGGAGATGGGGTCAAGAGCAGTTCAGAGATTTGGTGAACTTGCTAAAGGTCTGGATACGAGGGTGCTAAGAAGGGAACCAGGATGCCCCTAAGATTTCTGATCAGAGCCCTTGGATCGGGTGGTGGTGCCATGTTGTCCTGAAATGAGAAGACCGGGGTGCGGGGGAGAAATAAAGCATTATCCTTGGACCGTGTCAGATGCGAAGCGCCGTTACAGCCACGTGGGGCCGTCAAAGGGAGCCCTGAATCTATGAATCCGGCCCCCGGGGGAGAGGCCAGGCATGGTCGAGGGGAATCGGTCTGAGACGGGGATCCAGAATGGTCATTTTGTTGAGAGGTTGGGGGGGGTGGTTTGTGTGATCTGTGAGCTTGGCGTGTCGGATTTGAGGTGACTGTGACATCCACAAAGAAATGTCAAGGACAGTTTGCGTTAGTTAGTGCAGAGGCTTAGCTGCTGTAACAAGCAGACCCTACAACACGATGGTTAGAGGAGGTGGGGGATAGTTCTCCCCCTTAACGGCCCCGTGGTGAGTGGGCCAGGGTGCATAGGTGGCCCTGTTCCACCTGAGATTATGCTGGGACCTAGGTTCTTTCCATCTTGTCGCTCGGCCTCTCTTAAGGTGTTGTCTTCATCGGTGCGTGGTCGCAACTGGGTTGTAGGTGAAACAGTGTTCTAAGCTAGCAGAACAAGGAAAAAAAAGCGAAGGTGACCTGTGGCTTCTGCTCACATTCTGCGGAGGGCCACGCCTAGCCTCAGGGGAGGCTGGGAAATGTAGCCTGTCTGGGCAGCCCATGTCCACCCTCGCTTCTCTTCCTGTGGGTGGAGGGAGAATGGGTACCTCTACACGAGACTGGGTATTAGGTCTGGAACTTGGGGGAGAGGTCCGGGCTAGAGACGTGAGTGGGTCGTTACCTGCGATGCCTGGGAACGGCGAGGCAACTCAGAGCGAGCCCGGAGAAAGAGAAGGGAACAGGGCCCCGAATCAAGCTCTGGGGTGCCCATCATTTAAAGGATGGAGCCAGGAGCATCCTGAAGTATACCCACGACCCTTCTTGCTGTGACCCAGCCTGTTTTTCCTCTCTCCGATCCTCCCGCAGGCCTTGTATGACCCCATCAACCCCGACAGGGAGACCCTTGACCAGCCTTCGCTGACAGACCCCCAGCGTCTGTCCAACGAGCAAGAGGTGCTTCGAGCTCTGGAGCCCCTGCTGGCCCAGGCCAACTTCTCTCCACTCTCCGAGGACGCCCTGGCCTACGCTCTTGTGGTCCACCACCCTCAGGATGAGGTCCAGGTACCTGTCTTCCAGAGGAGAACCAGTGTTCCCAGGAGGCCTTGGGGCAGGGACAGGGCCTTTGGGAAGCACAGGCTGCTGGGAGGTGTAGTCCTGAACACAGGGAACCAGCCCGTGTGGTGCCTCATGAATTAGAAAAGGGTACCTCTTTCTCAGGTCACCTCACTGCCATCTGTTGGATGTATGGATATTCTCAGGACTAGAGACGTTATTGTCATCTGCCAGAAAACTGTAATAAAAAATCATCCAAAGTGCTCATCCTTAAAGTCAAAAAAATCTTAATAAAAATACTAACATCTTCCCAAGTTCCACATTTTTTTTTTTTTTTTTGTGATTTTAAGATGTACTTTTTCCTAAAGTCATATTTTATTGTCTCTGGGATATGACTTACAAGAAGTGGTATGACATAAGTTTAATTGGCAATATATTTTCTCTTTTAGTTGCTTCATAAAATAATGGAGTATCTTAAAATCCGTGGCATCTTAGATTCTAGGAAATACAGTAGTGAAGATGACTGTCATGTGAATGGCGCCATCTTCCATGGCGTGCAGTATACAGCATGAGCAACCGCACACGCTGCCCCGCCCAGACACCGGGTGATGATAAGCCTGGGACAGGGGGGCGAAATCACCGGGAGGAGGGTAGGGAGGACGTCTAATTTCAATATCCGGCGCTCGTTCGCCAGCCCATGCTCAGCTGCCTCTCCCTGCTTTGTCCTCTTGGGCAGGTGACAATAAATTTGGACCAGTACATCTACATGCAGTTCTGGGCTCTGGGCCAGCGAGTCGGGCAGATACCCCGTAAGTCCAGCGCGGGCTCCAAGCGTGGCTTCTTCAAGTCGCCCCCCGCAGAGAGGTGAGGCGGCTCTTGTTCCACAGGTGCAGCGAGAGGGAGCAAAGTTAGAGACCAGAGGGGACTGCCAGGTTAGTGTCTGGATTTCGGTGTCCGGGCCCCGGGTGGGAAGTGAGAAAGGGCCAGAGGTGGATCCAAATGCGGCCTTTTCTTCCCAAGGGAAAGGAAGAACTCCGATTCTTACAGGGGAAGAGAAGGGGGTAGGGACACTTCTCCCCATTTTCCAAGTGAGACCTGAGGCTCAGAGGGCGAAGGCCGCATTCTGAAAAAGTGGCCCCATTGGGATTCTGACGAATATCTTATTTTTAACAGAGGATATTCAAATTCAGAGCAGGGCGAGACGAGCCAGCCCTTCTCACGGTCAGCCAGCGGGCCTGTCGACTACACATGTCTTTCTGGAAATCAGTTTATCAAATTTGGTCACGAAGCCAAAAAAAACAAAACAAAGCGAAAATCAAAGACAAAGAATCCTTCTTATCCCTTAAACCAGTAATTCCGCTTCCAGGAGATATTTATACTCGCAGTGTGTGTTTAATTATCTGTCTCTCACGCTGCACTATGAGCTCCACAAAGGCAGTGACTGATTCATCTGGTTGTCTCCCCAGAGTTCCTTGGCACTCCTTGGCACTTAGCAGACACTCTAAAACATATGTCGAATTTGAAAGTTCACTAAACAAAAGAATTTTGCTCAGCTCTCCTTCGTCAAGTACGTAAAGTCAGAAGCAACCTACATGTCCAGTATTAGGGGATCACATTATGTAACTGATCCCCTCTCGTTGGGCACTTAGCTTATTTCTGATTTTCCTCCCACCATCGTTAAGTAGCTTTTAAGATGACCGTGTGACTGCAGAGCCAGAGAGAGTGTCCTGGGCTTGGAGGGGGCTCCCTGGGGCGGACCTGAGCACCCCGCCTCTCTCTTCCGACCCATCAGGAGATACTTTAAGCGGGTGGTGCTAGCAGCCCGAACGAAGAGGGGACACCTGGTGCTGAAGAGCTTCAAGGACACACCGCTGGAGGGCCTGGAGCAGCTGCTGCCGGAGCTGAAGGTGCGCACGCCTGCCCTGCAGCGCGCCCTGCTCAACCTCACGCTCGTGGTCTCCGGCGTGGCCTTCTTCGTCAACGTGGCCATGGTGATGCTCTCGGACCTCAAGATGGCCACCTCCCTGCTGCTGCTGCTCTTTGCTGCCTTCATGGGCCTGCGGGCCTCCAAGGTAAGTGGGCCGCCCGCCACGCCTCCTGGGTCCCTGCCTCTCGGTGTTCGGTCAGATGTCAGGCCACCCTCTCGTTTTCGTTTATTTTGTGCATTCCTTCTGCTTCAAGCTGTGCTTCATTTCTTCCCTTGCTTCCTTTCCTTCCCTTCTCTTCTCTTCCATTCCCTTCATTCTTCCTACCTTTCCTCCCTCCGCCTTCTCCCTTCCCCCCTTCCCCGCTTTCTTCCTTCCTTCCTTCCCCCCTTCTTTCCTTCCTTCCTTCTTTCCTTCCTTCCTTCCTTCTTTCCTTCCTTCCTTCTTTCTCTACCTTATTTAATCAGCACGATCTTGGGCGGGTTTCTTTTCTCTCTGTGCCTCAGTTTCCTCAGCTGGGAAATGAGGATCGTAGTAAGATCTGCCTCATAGGGCTGTCGTGAGGATTAGTTGGGCAAATCCGTGAAAGACGCAGTGCCCAGCATGTGGTAGCTGCTGGTTTGGTGTCCGGGCCCCGAGTGTTCACAGCCCCTCACCGAGCGCCTGTTTTGAGAGGCGCTTGGTGGCGAGGTGTGTGTTTTAGAACCACACGGCCTGGGTTTAAGTCCGGCTCTGCCGGCTTCTAGCCGTGTGGCCTTGAACAAGCCTGTAACTTCCTGGTGCCTTGGCTCCCGCATCTGGCCCGTGGGGATGACGATAGGCCCTAACTCACAGGGTCGCTGTGGGGAGTAAACGAGTTAATACGTGTACACGGTGCTAGGAACAGAGCCCAACGCGTATTACAGCAGGTGCTGTGGGCGCGGGAGCATCATTGTTATTACCTCCTGGGCTCCTGTGCCGAGGTCTGGGCTTCCCCACCCCGGCCAGGTGTCATCGTCACCAGGGGAGCCGTTTGACAAATGCAGACTCCTGGGTTCCAGCCCAGATGGACTGACCTGGAAACCGTGGGATAGGGGCCCAGCGGAGTGTTTTTAACACGCTTGCTCTTGATTCTGCTGCGCGTGGGTGTCTGGCTGCTTTGCACAGTTGAGCAGGTTGCTCTCCATCCAAGGATTCGTGGCCAAGGGGACAGGTGGGGGCTGACACCCAACTTGTGCTTCGCCGGCCGAGCTACCTGCCCTGTCTGGAGACTGAGTCGGCCCAGAGAGGCTGCCTTGGACGGCCTCTTCCCGTTCGTTGTGCCTGGTCATTCACTCACTGGTTCATTGGTTTTCAAACTGTTTTCAGCCATCCCAACGGGCTCTTAGGAAGGCTGGCAGTAAATCCCACAGATAACAGCCAGGCCCTGCTGGCGGAGAGGGGGCGGGGCTGGGGCGGGATGCGAGGAGCTGTTCCAGCCTCGGACCAGAGGATGGAATGGTGGAGAAGGGAACGAGCGAGCACAGCTTGGGGACCTCACGGGGCTGGGGTCCGGGATGCAGCGGGGAGGAGTGAGGCCCCGGAGGGCGGGTGGCCAGGGCCTCGAATGCCAAGGTCAAGAGCTTTGTCTTTAGGGCAGCAGGAGCCATGGAAGGGTTGTGAGCCTGGCGGGAGTGCCGCCCTTCAGGTTCTGAAGGGCCCAGTTGACAACCCAGTTCACTGGTTAATTTAGCGCATCCGTTAACCGTCCCCACCCCCCACCCCACCCCCGGCCCCGATTCAGCTGCGCCTCCCCGTGCACGCGTGTTCCCTCCTGCGTGTCACTCACTCCTCGCTCTCCTCTCGGACTCCTCTCCCTGTCCTCAAGGCCCTGTCCCCACCTGCTCCCTTGATGTCCCCACTGAGCTCAGTCTTCTCCGAGTCCCCCTCACCTCCCAGACTCCCCTCTTGGGACAGGTGCCCAGATCAGACACCCAGAAGACTGGTTTTGTGGCAGGACGCCCCTCTTTCTTCGCCCTCTAAGAGCTCTTCCACGTCTGTGGTTTCCACAGATAGCTCCCCTCCATCTGCTAGATTGGGGTGCTCTGTGCTCAGCCTGCAGCAGCCACCTCAGCCGGGTGGAGCGCAGCGTCTCCCCGACACCCACCCCTCCTCCGGTTCTCCGTCTGTTTATGGCCCTGTTGTCCCTCGAGTCACTGGCTAGAACCCCAGAAGTCGCCCTCGCCCTGCCTCCCGACCTGTCAGTCCCCAGCCTTGTCCTTCCTGCCGCTGAGTCTCTGTGCCATGGCCTCCCCTCTGGCCCAGCCCCAGCTCAGACCCCCCTTCCCAGCCTCCAGCCCATCCCCGATGGCCCCAGGCTGGCCCTGCTCCTCCCACGCCCCCAACCTCAGAAACCCCGCTTCCCCAGCCTCACTTGACACAGTTCTGCGCTTCGGCTCCACCAAAATAGCCTGGCAGCGCCTCCTCGCTCTGCTTCCCTTCCCTTCCCTCCCTTCGCGTGTCCTCCAGAAACGCCCCTCTCCCTCGTTGGCCTGACCCAGCCCGTGTCCCCCAACCCTCAGCTCGGAGGCTCAGAAATCCTTCCCGATTTCTGGGGCTGGGCAGTGCTCCCGTGGGCTCCTGCCATGCCTGACTCACTGTGGCCCCTTGACCCAGCACAGACTAGGCCTTGGGGGGAGGGGACGGAGGCCCCTGAGACACATCGGAGGTCCCGCCTTGGAGGGAGCAGGGTGGGGCACGCTGTCAGACCTCCACGTGCCTGAAGACACAGCTGTTCATCCGTGGAAGACGATGTCCTTCCTGAACGGGGACAATGAGGCAGTGAGGGTTTTCCAAGAACGGGCCAAGGCTGGCATGGCTTGTCCAAAGCCCAGAGGCCTGAGAACAGGGCGCACTCAGGGCGGCGGTCAGGGTAAAGTGGCTCGTTCAGCATGGGCTGCATTCAGAGGGCAGAGTCGGGGGCCAGTGGGAGAAATCTTTAGGGACCAGTCCCCGCAGGGCCTTGGTTCCAGGCCACGGAGCTTGGACTCTCTGATGGCACTGGGAAGCCACGGGAAGGCTCCGAGCAGGGGAGGAGCAGGGCCAGCTCTGGTGCTGTGTGGGGACAGACTGGAGCAGGGAGACTGAGCCAAGGATTGAGGCTGGAGTGTGACCTAGGCGGGTCGGAGAGGAGGGGACAGGGCGGAGAGAGGCAGGGCCAGGGGACAAGGCTGGGGACTGACAGGCAGGTGAGGAGGGAGTGAGGACACTGCCAGGGGTCTGGCCTGTGACTGGGTAGATGGGAACGTTGCCCCAGATATGGACCTTGTGGGGGAGGGAGGAGTGGGCTGGGGCGTTAGACGGGGGACACCCTGCACTCGGTATGGGCCATGATGACTGTTGACAGGAACTCACAGGTGGCAGGTGGTGAGCCACCCCCGGGGAGAGGCCTGATCTCATCCGCGTGCCGTGGAGTGGTGTGACCTGCTCATTGAACCCATGCAGATTCGACGCCATCCGCTCGGCAGAAGCAGACACAAAACCCAGTTTGTTTTCACATGAGATGGTCCCGAACGTGTCTGCCTCTCGCCTGCGGCTGTAAGAATGGCGATTGGTTCCTGCACACGGCTGTGTCATCTGTACCGTGCGGGCCATTTCAGCGGTGTCTCGGGGATGCATTGGCTTCAGAGGCCAGCACTTGAGGGCGGGACATATTTGCCTTTAAAAGGCGGCACACACCGCACCCGGGGTGTGGATGGGTACTCGGTAGTAGCTAATGTTTAAATGTCGTGATGCCAGGCTCTGTGCCAAGGGTTTCGTTAAACGTGTATCGACTTCCTGTCACCTACCTCCTATTTAGGTGTTAGACACATTGTCACAGCCAGCAGGGACCGGCTCCCAAGTCCCAGAGGCTCATTCTAAGCTCATTTTATGGATGAATGGAGGAATCTGTACAGCGGTTTTTAGTATGAGCCCCCGGGGGTCACTGGTTCCCTCCTTAGGGACACCAAGGATGGGAGAGAGGTCCAGGCCAGGAGAGAGCCACAGGTGGGGGACGGGGTTAGCGAACAGACAGCGGGCCCCAGACCTGCCCCTCTCCCCTTCTTCCCTCAAAGTGGCTTTTCACGCATTTATTGTCTAATCTCTTTATGGTTTGATATATTTTCAACCTTTTTTTAATGATCAAAAAGTTCAAACAAATACAGAAATAGAATAGTGGGATGAGCTCCCACATAGCCTGCATCCAGCATCTACCAGTCAGTCGGGTCCCACCCCCCAAGACCACCCCCCACCCCCAGTGGATTGTTTGGGGGCAAATCCTGGACCTGCGAACACTTTAGTATGTGTCTAAGACATAAGGACTGAAAAAATCATTGTAACAAAAAGCTCCAGGTCCAAAGCCCCTATCCTCTGGAAATCTTGCGTGGCTCGGAGGTGTACACCAGCATAGCGGCTGCAAAATATTGTGGGTGGCCTGGGAGTCACTGGGGCAGAGAGCATGCGGGTTAAAAATACAAAACGCCGGGCCTCACTCCTGGGGACCTGAACTGAAGAGGCCTGGGGACAGCCAGGGCGTCCAGGAAGGGCGGCCCCGGCGTGAGTGACGCAGGAGGGGTGGGCGTACGGGGCGCTGCTCCTCCCGGGCGCCAAGACCCCGCGTGTCCCGCCTGCAGATGTTCGGGCAGCGGCGCAGCGTGCAGGCGCTGGAGCTGGCGCACATGCTCTACTACCGGAGCACGTCCAACAACTCGGAGCTGCTCAGCGCCCTGGCGCTGCGGGCGCAGGACGAACACGTCAAGGAGGCGCTGCTGGCGCACAGCTTCCTGGCCCGGCGGCCCCCTGGTGCGCAGGGCCCTCCCGAAGGTAGGCGTGGTCCCGGGCCCCCGCGCCTTGGTGGCCCTGTCCCGTCCCATCCGTCGGGCCCCGCCTGGAACAAATTCAGGCGGGCTCTACAGGGTTGAGACTCCCCTCAGTCCCCAGTGGCCCTGCGCCAGTGAGATGCCATCCGCGCGCTGCCCGCCCCCTTCTCCCGGCTCGCTCTAGTGAACCTGACCTATTTCCAAGGCGGCCCTGGCCTCAGCAGATGGGACCCCAGATTACGGTCTTGGTAGATGTGCTCGGCTGGGGTGGCCTCCCTTTCCAGACCTGAGCCTCGGTAGGGGCTCAGATCAGGCTACTGTTATGCCGGGCCCTTTGACGCCCCTTCCGATATGTGAGCCCACACTTTCCCTGTGGGAGACCCTTGTCCCTTCCCTGCGTAAGCCCCAGGAAGTCCCTCCCCAACAGGAGCCCGTACCCGTCCTGGCTTGTCCCCAGATGAGCACCCCAGAGCGAGCCTCCCAGGCCCGTCACGCTCTCCTCCTAGCCTCAGTACACCCCTCCCAAGTCTTTGCCCAAACCCAGGCCCCTCAGTCCTTCCCTGTCCCTCTGACCTCTTCACGACACCTGCCTCTCCCTCTGCAGAGACCTCCCGGTGGCTCCAGTCAGAGGTGGAGAACTGGCTCCTAGCCCAGTCAGGCTGTGAGGTGACCTTCAACGGAACTCGGGCCCTGGGCCACCTGCAGTCCCTGACTCCCAGCGTCGGGATGTACCCGCCCCTGGGGTTCCCCAAAGTAGACCCATCCGCTACAGTCACTTCCCCTGAGGCCGCACCTAGCAGTGACAACCCCTGACAGAAACCTCTCAGCCCAGCCCCGCCCAGCCACCTGGTTAGGAACTAAGCCCCGCCTCCTCTATGACAAGCTGTCGATGAGGGAAACTTCGCTTTGCAGCTCCCCAATTTCCAATGATATACAATCACGTCGCACTTAAAGCCACCAATGGAGACAGGCTGCATTTGCTAGCCCCACCCTTTCTGATGAACAGCCAATCAAAGCTTTATGGTTCTCTTCCATCGCTGGAGTCCTGCGCCCGCTGTAAACACCCGAACGTGCTTTGGCTGAGGAGGGAGTGTCAGCCAATCACCGCTGTTCAGTGCTACCAACCACCTGGCACAGCCCTTAAGCTGTGCCCTCCCGAGGCTATATATCATTGTCTTTTTAGTCAGCTCCGGGCAAAGTGCCCATCATGTTCCCCAAGGCAGAGCCCCAGCCTGCAGCCAATGAGAGCCCTCTACCCCTGCTCTCTGGCAAACTGCCAATGAGTTTCTGGACACTGTCAACCGTGGGCAGCCAGTTGTCGCTGCATAGCAGCAACCAATCAGAATTTCTAAAGGAAATCTGATCTATCAGCTGCCACTACTCTCAGGCAGGCCATCTGGTCAAACTGCTGACGGGCTCGTCCAGGCTGAAAGAGTCGGGAGCCTTTTGCCAGGCAGGAAGCTGTGGGCCAAGAGGAACCGGAGGTCATCCTCACCCCGAGAGACACTTCCACGTAGGCCCTGACGACCTCACGTGCCTTCCCTGCCCAGGTCCCTCACACTTTCAGCAAAACTACCTCGGTCTGGATCTCCACTCCAGCAGCGGCCTGTGCAATATTTATTGGTCTGTGAATCCCCCCTCCCGTCTCCCGACGGAATAAATTATCTTTAATAAATCTGGATGAGTGGCCTCGTTTGCAAAGGTTGGAGGGAAAGAAAGCATCAGCATCTCGGAAAGAAGAGATTCTGGGTCTTGGAGGAATGCGTCGCAGTGGGTCCCAGGCAGAGAAAGCTATAATCCTAGAGAGAGACTGGGCTCGTCGTTTGAGAGCTAGACTGGCTTTGAGTCACAGAAGGGGATCTTTGAGAGGAGCGGCCCTGGTTCCCAGAAAGACGGAGCCTTCCGAACACGGGAGGGAGGGTGGCCACGGGCGGCTGCGCAGGCCGGTTACTGCGCAGGCGGGTTACTGCGCAAAGGCGCACAGCCCCGGGTGGGTGACTATAAAGTCCAGCCTCCCCTCCCCACTCCCCATGTGGGGCTGGAGAAGGGGCGGGGTGGCATCTAAGTTTTACTAAGGTGTAGATGGGCTAGAGACAGTATTTGGGGAGGAGAGGAAAGAAGGAGGGGTGGATGGGAATGAAGAAAGGCTGGGTTCTCAGGGAATCGGAACAGCGTCTTCCTTAAGAAAGAGCGAGAAAGAGACCAACAATCTAGAACACACACCCTGCCTGGTTGAAGCGGGTGTGGGGAGAGAGACAGACAGACAGACAGAGATGGAGGAAGGGAGAGAGAGAATATGGCTCTTGCACAGGGAAAGAACCCCGACTCCTGGTTCTCCAGCCTGGCGGAATCGAGACACTTGAGACGAGAGGGCCCCAGGACCTCAGGTCTGTGCAAGGGAAAGGCGGCTGAGCCCCCAGGCTCCTGTGTCCGCGTTTAGAAGGGACTGGGGGCCTAGAGCTGAGTCTCAGGAGGAGGAAGGAAGGAGGCAAAGGCGGACCAAGCGGTTAAACGGTTTTATTTTCTGGAGGCGGGGAGAGGCGGAGGGGCCGGGGGCGAGCAGGGGTGGCCAGGCGACGCGTAGCGCTCACTCCCGCTTCCGCAGGTGGATGTAGATGATGCCGCTGGCCAGGGCCAGAGGGAAGGCCACCCAGGCCAGGGCAAAGCAGTAACCGAAGCTGCCCCCTCGCGGATGCTTAGCCAGGATCTCCTCTGCGTGGATGGCGTAGATCAGCGCCCCGGTAAACACCGCCACACCTGTGGGCGACGGGAACCACGGGTCACTCCGTACCCTCAAGAAGACTGCAGTTCCCAGCAACCCATGGGGCAAAGAAGCCGCCAGAGGGCGAGCGAGCAGCACCGCTGCCTGCTGGGGGTTGTGGTTCGCTTCCCCCAGCGCCCTGCAACCAGGCTGCTGCAGACTGGCCTTGAGCAACTTAATCTCCGGGTCCCCTTTACTCATCCATAAAATGGGACGATAATGTCTACTCATCCATCCATCCATTCAGAGAATATTTTTGAGTGTCTTTCTACAAGCCAAGCACGCAAACAAAATGAACTAATAAAACGAGAGGGTCTTTGCAGGAACCCAGGAAGATCATGTTTCCCAGACAGTGGACTATGATGAACTTAGACCTTGGTGCGTGAAGTTAAAAAATTTAAAAGTACATAAAACTCCGTCAAGTGTCTGATACAGAGTGGGTCCACCAGAAACAGCAGCTGGCTGCCATTATCATGATATTTCGATTCAGAGTTCTTTCCTGGGGTATTAACCATCTAGTCCCCGCCCCCCTTCCAGCCGTCCCTGGGGTTTAAATTACTTGCCCACACCACCTTCCTCAGCCCTGGCTCCTTGAAGCCCCAAGTGCCAGCTCCCCCAAGACTGAGACACAAACCGCCACCGGCTCCCTGAGAACTACAATGCCCTGAGGCAGAGAGGTGCCATGGAGGCACCTCTGGTGGTCCTTGGGCTGTGGAGAACTGTTTTCTCCTGCCAGATGTCCATTCTCAGGAGTCCCAGCATGCTGACAGGTCCCCTCCCTTCCCTTCAACTCCCAGGGAACAGTGCTCACTAGTGCAAAGCTGGCAGAAGCCAGTGGCATAGAACAGCCCTCCTCGCCGCATGGTGTAGAGCTGGAACATGAACAGGATGAAGGACAGACAGCAGAGGATGAGGGAAAGCACCATGAGGACCTGTACCGCTTTCAGCCAGCCTGCAAGGAGGAGGAAACAGAGGCAGAAGTCACATCAGGTCCTGAGTCCCGGCTCCACCTGCTTACTCAATGAATCGCCTGCAACACCCCCCTGCCATTTAGAGCCGCATATGTTTGGATACCTAGGAGTATCAGGGAAATGGACCTTGATGCCTGTGACTTCGCTAAATTCCCTTATCAGTTCTAGAGGCTGCTTTGAAGATTCTTTAGGATTTTCTACATGGGACAGAGATATCTTTACTTCTTTTTTCATATTTGTGGTTTTTATTTCTTTTTCTTGCCTCATTGCATTGGCCGCCTCCAGTACGACACTGAATAGAAGTGGTGAGAACAGAAATTCTTGCTTCTCTCAGGAGAAATGCATTTCATCCTTCACCTTCTTTCGTTTAGAAATTGCGATGGATGCAGCTCCACCCCTTTAGAACTCTGATGCATCCCTCATTCCCGCCCCGCCCCCCCTTCAGAACCTTGGAAGGTTCCAGCCCCACCCTCTTGGAACTTGGACGAACTGGTCCCAGCCATCCATTTGGAACACCAGTCCCATCTCCTTAGAACTCTGGATACTTAATCCTATCTTCTCAGAATCTCGGGAGCTTTTCCCCCCATTTCTTAAATCTATGGCATGTGGCCTCCACTCTTTCTGAATCGCAAGAGAGGAGGGCTTTTAGCTCATCCTCTTTAGAACATGAGCACGTTGCCCCCTACCTCTGAGTTAGGCAGGTCATACATCAGTCCCACTCACTGATGGGACCCAGAGCCACCCACTCAACCCTTGGCCGATTCTCAATCCTCAGTCCCAGGAAGAGACTTGGGGTTACCCCTCCCCTCTGCAGACCAGTCCCCATCGCCCCTCACCATTCTCGCTGACGTTACTGCAGGCCCACGTTTTGTTGTCATTGATCCACGTGCAGTCATACCAGAGATTCAGGGACTCCTTCCCCGGGAGGGTCCACCAGGACTGGGATGGACAGAGAAACAAGGGTAGGGATAGGAAAGGCAAGTGGGAGGGGTCAGGGAGTCAGTGGGAAGGGTTAGGAAAAGGGCGAGGTGCCGGCAAGGGGCCGATCTGGGGAAAGCAGGGATTTAGTAGGAAATAGGGGGCGGCGGGGAGGTCAGAGGAAAGAGCAGGGTGGAGGCATCAGGGGCCGAGCTCAGATGGGCAGATGCTAGGGAAAGGGGGCGGGGCCAGAGCGACTGTAGAGGAGGGCGTGGCAGGAGGCTGCAGAAGGGCGGGAGGCTGCTGCTCTGAGCAGGCTTACCTTGTCCAAAGTGGCCACAAAAAGCAGGATGAGAATGAGGATGTGAAGGGCAGAGACCACCAGCAGGAGGAGTGACATGGCCGCGGTGGAAGCCTGGGGTAGGGGACGACAGAAGATGGTCGTTTCAAGAGGTTGGCACAGGGGCAGCTGAGATGCCCCGATGATCGAGAGAAGGGGGCTGAGTCCAGACTCCCGAGTTTGAGGGAGGAGGGGCTGGGGGCCCAACTCCTGAATCCCTCAGGGGCTGGAGAGGGCCAGGGATGGACTCGGGTCCAGGAATGTATAGGAACAGCAAGGTGGCCCTTGGTCCCCTCAGAGCCCTGTCCCTGGGTGCATATGGACCAAGATCTGAAAATTCAAGTTGACACCCTTCCAAATTCTTCAGAAGCTGCCTGCTGTCGGTCCCCAGAGATAGGCATCCTTGACTCACCCCACCCCTCTCTTGGGGTAGGAGAAGGAGGGTGACTGGGTGAGTCATGGGTGACTCATCCCACTCTCCTGCCTGTTAAGTGTCAGGGAAACCCCAGCCCCTGGCTGTGCCCACGAGGTCCCCGCCCCACCCTACTTCCAGACTGGCGGCTGCGGAGCATCCTGTGGGGAAAACGCACGGGATCCATACTGAGGGGACCGAGGCCTGAGAAGGAGGAGCCGGCCTCCCACGACCCTTCAGTGACCAGAAGGGGAGGGGGCCCCGAGGTTCCCCAGACTTGGGGTGTTCTCATGCAAAGCCCTGACCCCAGGGTCCTCTCTCCCCAGGGGAGAGTGGACAGCCATGGGGGAAAACGGCAGGAAGTTTTCAGGTGGAGGGCTCTGCTGAAAACACCCCCGATCCTTGCCCGGCCCCACCCCTTCCTGGATCCCCACCCCGAGTGCTAAGAGATCACTTCTGAAATTACGAGGATTTCCATGGGGGTGTACTAGAGGCAGCCAGACAGCTGCGCTCGCAAGTAAATAAAGAAATCCCAGTCCGGATAACGGACTGGAAACTTACCGAGAGCGGCGGAAAAAGTCAGAGTTGGAGTGTGTCCCTCGCTCGGGCCTCCGTGCCCCGCCCTTTTCCTCCCTCCTTCCACCCTCTCGAGGCGCCCGCCTCCCTCGCCGCCTTCCCTCCTCCCGCGCACTGCCCCTTGGCTCTCTCGGTCCTTCTCCCCACCAATCCCCAAACCCTTTTTCTCTTCTCTCTCCTGGTCTCTTGCTCTGCTTCTCAATATATACTGACCCTGTTATATACCCACCCGCGCCGCACCCAGCTGAGGTCGGCAGCCAGGGGGAGGGCCCAGGAGCTGGGGTTCTTCATTCTCTGAGCCTCCGCCCACGGCCCCCAGACAAGCCTATTCCCCCTGAGGTGGAGATGAGAGAGAAGTCCTTGGAGGGGAGCGCGAACCTTGCGGTGGGGCAAGCGTCAGGGGGTGAGAGGGCCAGATTCTCGGGCCTGGGACCTGGGACCGGATGTCTGCTTTCCTCGATGGGACTTGGGACTCGGATGGATGGGAGCAGGAGAGAGGATGCCAGACTCCGGCTGCGTGGAATGGGCTGAGGGCGCGGCAGGGATCAGGGGGTGGGAAATGGGGAAGGAGGGACTCTGGAAGGGCGCAGGAGGTGAAAGGGAAGAATCCCAGGGCCACCGGCTCCTGCCTGAGGGACCTTGACCAATTATGTCGACTCTCTGGGCCTTGGTTTTTTAACCTGTGAGGTGGGTATAATGATAATAATAATAACAATAATAATAATAATACTGACGATATACTAATACTGATCGTAAGTCTGATACTTATCCTAAATGAATAAGGTGATGCCCCCACACTAACACACCTAGCACGTTCATTCCTTTCTTCATCGAACATTTATTGAGCATCTGTTAACCAGGAATTAATAATAAAGAAAATCAAAAACTGTTACCGTGGAGGTGGCCTTCCTAGTAGAGACAGAATACAGAGAAAACATATCGATGAGGAAGAAAAATTTCAGATAGTGTTCAATGTTTGAAGGAAACGAGAGCCTGGTGGAGATGCCTGGGGAGGACCCTGGTCATCTAAACAGGGTGATCAGGCAAGCTGAGGTGACATCCGTGCTGAGACCCAAAGGTAGGAGCCATCTGAATGCGGTGGGTGGGGGACAGGGAACGTGGCGGGGGGAGGGGAGAGGAAGTGCAAAGACTCTTGAGAACAAGCTCAGTTGTTTGGGGAGCAGACAGAAGGGCCGGTGTGGCTGGTATCTGGGGAGCAAGAGGGAGTGGTAGGAAGGGAAATCAGAGGGTCCTTGGAGACTAGGGGAGTTTGGACTTTATTCCGAGTGCAGTGGGAAGCATTTAAAACCATGGGAAGGTTTAATACAGAAGTGCAATACCAGAGACTTAATGTTAGCTATTATTATCAATAATTCTTGAGTCATCGAATTAGGGTGTGGGGGGATGATAACTACTATATATGAGGGCCTCTTGGAAGGGCTAACTGCTGATGAATAGTGAGGGACAGGAGACCAGGTGTCTGTGGTCCTGATCTGGAATGGAGAGCTGGCGAACTGAAGTCTTTCGTCCCTGCAAGGGGAGGGAACCGGCCCATGGCAAGTCTCAGTCAGTATCTGATGGGGCCAGAGCTAAGGGAGGGAAAGCGGTTGGTCACGTGGCTCCCTGAGAGGATGAGGAATAGACAGTTCAGTGGCTGGGTGGGTACCGAGGGGAAGACCTTGAAGCTGGGGTACTGGTATAGCACAGACTCTAGAAACACACTGGCTGGATTCCAATCCAAGTTGCTTTACTCATTAGCTGTGATTTTGGGCAAGTTACTAATAACCTCTCTGTGCCTCACCTCTATCTGTAAAATAGGGGAAGTAATAGTGAATTCATTGTAAGCACTGCTGTGTGTGCTAGTTATACCGGGCATTGGGACCCTGAGCAGGTTCTGTACTGGGGAAGCCGAGATCAAGGTCTCTAGGATTTGAGGATGGGGCAAGTTCTTGGGTCCACTGGGTCTCAAGGCTAAAAGTTGGGAGTACACGATGAAGGCCCCTGGGTTGGGGAATAGGTGGGTAGTCACAAACTTAAGTCTTTGATAAAGACAGAAACGGGGGTTCCAGACTCAAGAGCCCCAAGGATGTTAGAAAGTCTGGGTCACTGAAGGAAAAATTAGGGGCTAGACGGAGTGCAGGCAAAGGGGGCCAGGGTCCCGACCTAGTCCGAGGAGAAGTCTGGGAATCAGGGGTTAGGGAGATGGAAATTTGAGCGGGGAAGGTGGAGAACAGGAGGGTAGGGCTGAGTCAAGTTCCTTGAGTCCCCCATTTAGGGCTCTGTGGAAGGGGGAGCTGAGAGCGGTGGCGGGATCTCCCCTTCCTGGGCCTCCAACGCCACCAGCTAAGCTGCGCGCCCGCGGGCCGCTTCCTCCCACAGGAAACCGCAGGCGTGGGGCACACCCAGCCTGCAGGGAACAGCGCCCATGCCCGCCCGCTGCGGCTAGGCCCACGTGGGCAGCAGCGGACCGCTAAGGGGGCGTGCCCCGCGGAGCGCAGGGGGTGTGGCCACACGGGAGCGTGGCCGGAAGGCGGGGGCCGCACGGAGCGACCGAGGCCCCGCCCACTTCCGCCTGCCCGACCGCGGACCCGGTGGGCGGAGAGGCGTTTTGCGCGGCGTCTCCGGAGGCCGTTGGGCGCGCATGCGTAGTGAGCCACTGCGCGGACCTGAGGCGGTGGTGAGCGCTGCTCCTCGCAACTCCTGGCGTGGGCGCCGCCTCGCTGCTAATGAAGCCCCCAAATAACGCGATCTTAATCAGCTTAAGACACGCTTCTCTCGGGCTCCTCCCGAAGGACCTCGGCCTGGCTCCAGAGCCTTCCAGACGTTTCCCAGCTCTGCCTCCCACTCCCGAAAACACACAGCACGCCCCTCACGAGCCCGTGCTCCCCACGCAGACCTTCCCGACCCCACACAGGCCCTTCCGGCCAGAGTGCCTCCCGGTGGGTCCCGCCCCCAAAGGTCTTGGGGGAGACCGTCCCGCCGGCGCCCTCACGTGTTGCCAGCCACGCCCCTCGCTGGCCCCTGAAGCCCCGCCCCCACGCATCCGTGCTCCTCCCCTCACTAGGTCCCAAGTCTTCGCCCCCTATAGGTACCCGTGCCCCCCATCCGAGCCCCGCCCTCCTGTGGTACCCAGGCCGCCCCTCGTAGGCCCACCCAGTCCCTCTCGCTGCAGGGCCGCTTATCCCCACTCCTTATAAGCTCACCCCCGCCCCTCAAGGCCATCCCAGCCCCGCCCCTCAAGGCCTCCCAGCCCCGCCCCTCTCAGGGCTTCCCAACGGGTCTGATTAAGCCCTGGAGAACCCAGCAGAGCTGCTCGCCACCTCCTCGGTCACACCTCCCCAACCTCCCTTCCTCGCGGCCTCGGTCCCTCCCCGGCTGCTGTCTTCGGGCCTCATTGGCCCCTTATCTCCCCAGTAACCGACCACAACAGTGAGCTAGGAGCACCGAGGACAGGTCAGGCACTCCAGCAGGTAGGGACGGGACTTCCCTTCCCACAGCGGGCCAGGGGTTTCTCCTTGCTCTGTGACCCCTTCCCCAAACAGTACCCCCCCACCCCCCGGCTACGGAGAGCCTAAGGGACCTGTTCCCCCGCCCTAGAGTCAGAGCCATGATGTCAGCCAGAATGAGAGAGGTGGGTGGGGTGTGGGGAGGAAGTGAGGAGAGAGGCCTGAGACTTAGAGAGGCCAGAGCTGATTCTGGGGTCACCTAACAATTCCTAGCCCCTCACTGTTCGTTGCCCACCTCTCCTTGGCCCTGTCCTGCTCGCTGTCTGAGGGGGTCCCGTGTCATCGCTACAGGAATCCACCCTCTTTGGCAAAGATGCCTTTAGGACTGTCTGCAGGGAGCGCCCGCTCCGAGGATGGAAGCGAGGTCTTCCTAGAGGGAATGGGTAATTCATACGTTCATTTCACTCATTATTTTTCTGTTTTCCCAAGTTCCAGCTCCTGTGCTGCAGGGCCTTGGGGACAGGGAGGCCGTCCAGTGGGGAGCATACGTGCGGGATGGAGATGGAGCTGGGCGCATGGGCTGGCCAAGGCTGGGGAGCGGGGTGGGCCAGGAAGACTTCCTGCAGGAGGCGAAGTCTGAGTGGGGCCCAGAACTCCTCCTCGGAATTATCAGGGGGAGGAGAAGGGGGAGTGTTCCCCGAGAGAACAGCGTGTGGCCAGAGCAGGGTTTCTCGACCTCCCGCTGCTGACACCTGGGGTCAGGTAAGCCTTTGTCGTGGGGGATGTTCTGCGCCTTCCTTGTAGGATGCGTAACAGTATTCTTGGCCTCTGCCTGCTGCTTGCCACTAGGACCCTCTGCACCCTTCCGCCCCCACATGGTGACGATCAAAAATGTCTCCGGACATTGCCAAATGCCCATGGGGGATAGGATCGCTCCAGGCTGAGAGCTACTGGGCCGTGGGAGGTAGAGGAGGCTTGGAGAGGTGGGTGAGGTGAGGTCATGCGGGGCCTTGAACCCAAGGCCAAGGAGCTGGGACATTGTCCTGGGGGCGCTGGAACTCCAGAGAAGAGCGGGGGCAGGGTCCTCTCTGGGCCTAGAAAAGGTCCCTCTGGGCTGCGAGGGGAGGTGGGAGGTTGAGGAGGAGGCTGGGGTGACGGTCCAGGTGGGAGAGGATGCGGCCTGAGCCCAGAGGACAGACTGAGAGTGAGGAGGCGGGAGGGTGGGACTGAAGACGGCTGGGCAGTGGGGGCCGAAGGGGAGGGAGGGAGCAAGAATGCTGCTCTGGTCACTTGTCCTCGTTTTCCGAAGTTTAGATCCCTTGCGGTGGGTCCCTGAGGACCGCGAGTCCTCCCAGGGGCGCCCTCTAGTGGGGGAAACGGATGTATTTCCGAACCGGAGGAGGAGTGGATTTGAGGGGAAATCTCGAGGTCCGAGGTACAGTGAGGAAGTTGGAGGCAGCCCTAGAAGAGTGTGCGGGACTGGGCCTGCGACTCAGCTGCAGCTTGTGAGGTCCTAAGGGAGCCAGGATGTCTAGGTCCCGGGGAGGAAGCGGCTGGGGCCTGGGTTCCTGTTGAGTCCCTCGCCTGGTCCGTCCCTTAGTGGATTGGGAGCTGAGCAGACTGCAGCGACAGTGCAGAGCGATGGAGGGCGAGAGGCGGGCCTACAGCAAGGAGGTCCACCAGCGCATCAATAAGCAACTGTGAGCGGAGCGCCTGGGTCTCAGAGCCGGAGAGGGGGCTGCTAAAGGGGTCGGGGGCGGGACCCTGCGGCCCAAGGAAGGGCGGGCCTTTGGCGACGCTGAGCTCCGCCCCTTGCTGGCCCCCCGCCTGGGCAGTGAGGAGATCCACAGCCTGGAGGCGGAGCGCGACAGACTCCAGGTGCAGATCAGCATCGCCCAGAGCCAGGTCAAGCGGCTGCGGGACAGCGAGAGGCTAAAGAACATGGGCCGCTTGCTGAAGTGCCGGGCCCGGGTGCAGGCCGAGGTCAAGGAGCTGCAGCTGCAGGCCAGAGCCTTGGACCAGCAGGTGCGTCCCGAGACCAGACTCTGGATCCTACTTAGGGGCAAGCGTCGCCGCCGCCGTGAGACTTAGCTTAACCTCATCTGAGAACACCCGCCCGGCACTGCGGTGCGCAGGCTCCAGCGGGATGTGGGTGTTTAGTGCCGAGAACAGTCCCACGCACTCGAAACGGGGCTGGTGCAGTTAGAGGGGAAAGTGACACCTGCACCGGAATCCTGGTCCCACCACGTCAGAGCCTTGTGACCATGGGCAAGTCTTCACCTCTGTGGGCCCTGGTTCCTTCCTCTGCAAAAAGAGGATATTGGCGATGGAGCGGGCTCTAGGTGGCTGGCTACTCTCTCCCACCTCGCGATCTTAACGTGGGTTTTGGAAACTGTGACTTTTCTAGGCCAATGTTCTTGCAAGTTTTTACGGTGATGTAGTTCATACACACACAGGTACAGATGGCTAGAAACAGGCACACGCACACACACAGACACACATACACACACAGACATCTATCGGAAACAAAAGCTTCGTCAAAGTATATTTTTTCTGTGCGCAATTCAATTTTCTCTTCTACACTTCATTAAAAAAATTGCTTGCCTATACCCAGTGACTTCTTGCACATTGTGGGATCCCAAGTAGGAGTTTCCTGTCTTGGTGATCTGTATCAGTTGGGACAGAAGTCCAGAGGGGGTCTCACTTGGGTGAGATCAGGGTGTCAGCAGGGCTGCGTTCCTTCTGGAAGCTTCAGGGGAGAATCTGTTTCCTGGCCTTTTCCAGCCTCCAGAGGCCACCCGCATTCCTCCGCTCTGCCTGCTTTCTATTCTCAGCCGTCAGGACCAGTTGAGTCTTTCTCATGCCTCATCGCTCTGACCTCTGCTGTGGTCATCTCCTCCTCTGGTTCTGACACTCTTGCCTCTCTCTCTCCTTTTAAAGACCTTTGTGATTACTTTGGACCCACCCAGGTAATCCAGGATTATCCCCTCCGGCTCAATGTCCTTAATTTCATCATGTCTGCAAAATCCTTATTGCCTTTTAAGGTCACATATTCACAGGTGCAGGGATTAAGATGTGGCCATCTTGCGGGGGAGCATTATTCTGTTTACCACATGGTCTGTAGTTTTCTTAGATGTGACTTCTGGTCAGTCAGTCTGTTCGGCTCTCGATAGCACCCTGAGCAGCTTTTTGGAAGCTGAAGTTTGATTCATACACGCCAGACTTTTGGCTGTTTCCCTTTAGTGCAGTGGCTTATTGAGTGTTAGCTGCTTGAATTGGTTTTCTTTAGTCTTTCATGGAAATTCACTAGAGTTGGGCCTGAGCAGGACGATTTTATTACCAACTCCATGGATTCCTTTGCTCTAACAAATTTGATCATGGAGAATTATAGGTCAGGGGTGGGGTGGGGTGGGGGAATAGGGTCTCTAGAAGAGAGCTCTGTAAAGTTTGGATATATAGAAGATCCAAAAAGATCTAATGCTAACTTATTATAATTAACAAGATATTTTAACAGTGTGGCTGGATACAAAATCAACATGCCAAACTAATGGTATTTCCCTATATTAATGGTAACTATTAGAAAATAAGAGAAGAAATGACACCTTTATGATAGCCGAGAGGAGTAACTAGGAAGAAATCTAACAAAGTGTGCAAGACCTCAGTGGGGCCAATTGTAAAATTTATTGAGGGAGATCAAAGAAGAACTTAACAAAGGCAGAGATATACCATGTTCATGGATTGGAAGAGTTAGTGTTGTAAAACGTCAGGTCTTTAAATTGATTTATAGATTCAATGTAATACCAATCAAAGTACTAAAAGCTCTCCCCCACCCCCACCCCCCCTGCATGAGTGGAACTCACCAGCATATTCTAAACTTTGTATGGAAGTGCAGTGAACACAGGACCTCACACTGTACCCCCAAAACTAACTCCACATGGATCAAAAGAAATTCGGATGTCCATTAACTGTAGGAATTACTCATCACTCATTAGTAATCAGAGAAAGGCAAACAAAAATCACAATGAGACACCGTTACACACTCGCTGGATTTTCAAAAATCAATGTCTGAAAATACTGAGTACTGGGGAGAGAAGGAGCAGTGGGAACTCATACGAACTGTCGGTGGGTGTATAAATTGTCCTATGTATTCTGAAACGTGTTTTCCCCATTATCTATTACATCTGAAATCGACGTACCCTGTGGTGCGGGGTTGCATTTACTCAGTATAGTCACCAGAAGCAGTGCTGGGCCGCACCTGACGCTCATGGGATCCGACAGGCTGTAACTTGGCACCAGGTCCACTTAACTTTGTAGAAGGGTAGAGGACAGGAGACAACAGCATCTTGGCGTGACAGCATCAAACGCACCTGCCTTGATGGTCCAGGGACTGCTTCTCATCACCTCCAGATGATGCCGCACGAGGGGGTGGGTGTCGCCCACCTGGCATAGCGAAGCTTCACACACAAGAGAAGCCATCTCTTGTAACAGCTCATGAGGGTGGCTTGTAAGTCCCCACATAGGCCCTTAGGATCAATGAGCCCACTCACAATCCTTTCAGGGGTCATTTTTATAATAGACATTGTTGCCTGGGAACACAGCTGGCATTCCATATTTACCTTTACCCAGTAAGTTTCCATGGAAACAGTGTTGGAAGAAAGTACACCAAAGTCATCTTCCAATAGAAAACAGGTTTAGATCTGTTGTTAAAACTTCGCCCATCCAGCAATTACACTTCTGAATATATACTCTGGATTCATGGAAAAGAATGTTGGAAGAAGCATTATTCATATTAGCTAGCACCAAACTGGAAACAACCAAAATGTCCATCAATATTGAATGAAAAAATAAATCGCGGTATATTTTATAAAGAAATGGTATACAACAATGATAAGTGAATGACTCACAATTACACAGAGCAACAAGGATGAGTCTCACACCTGAAGGAAGCAAGACATAAAATACGCAGGTAGCATTATTTTATTTACATAAAATTCAAAATCAGTCCAAACCAAATTTTCACATATCGATGATGAAACAATTAAGAAAAGGAAAGAAATGCATTTCGCTTAAGTATAGTAAACAGAATAATGACCCCCCGCCAAAGCCGTCCATGTTTAATCTCCAGAATCTGTGAATGTGTTTCCTTACATGGCAAAGGAGACTCTGCAGACATGATGAAGGGTGTGCAAATTTCCCCTTTTACAAAGACACCAGTCACATTGGACCGGGATCTCCCTAATGCCCTAATTTTAACTTAATCACCTCTGCAAAGACCCTGTCTCCAAATAAGGTCTCATTCTGAGGTCCTGGGGGTTAGCACGTCACCGTGCAAATTTTGTGGGACATGATCCAACCTATAACAGCACACAAATTCGGAAACACAGACCCCCAAGACCAAATGAGTTAAAGACCCGATTGAACGAATCTTTTATGAAACATTTCCTTAACAAAATTTATTCATTTAGTCTACATATTTTGTTGACTACCTACTCTGCGTCGGGCACAAAAAAGACAAAAATCGACCCTCGCAGAGCCCCCAGTTTAGTTGGGGAGACAGCATGCCCCAAATCAGTGAAGGAGAATATGGAAGTGAGGACAGGTAGGCAGCTGGTTCCAGGCATAGCAGACTCGGGGACTTTAATGGCATCGGGCCTCATTCTCGCCATCTTTCAGTCCCTTGTCTCTGCTTTGTCTACTGGCCTCATTCTCCCAAGATGCTCCGTGTGGTGGGGACCATGACGGCGGGAGTCCTGGAGTCCCATCCAGCCAGCTCATGCATTTCCCCCAAAATACCAGGGAAGGATTCACGCCAGCTCAGCCCAGGTCACAGGTCCATCTCTAAGCCAGTCACTGGGATTGTCCAGATGTAGGTCAGGTGGCTGCAGGGTGGCTTGTGGTTGGAAGCCAGATCCACGTGGAAGGTTGGGTGCTGTCAGCAGAAGGGTATAGCAGATGGCTGGGGCCACGAGGATGGCAGGTGTCAGCCACACTGAGCCACTCTTCCTCCCACTCATCTCCTCCCTTGGTCTTTCGATCTTTCCCACATTCAGCCAACAAACTGGTACTACCCTCTTTTCTCCAGATCCGGGAGTGGGAGGCCCGGATCTTTGTCCACGGTAAGGACGTCAAGGCCCCGGGAGTCATCCTAGAGCAGAAGGCCAAGATCCAGCGAAGGATCAAGATCCTGGAAGACCAGCTGGACAGGGTGAGGGTCAACCTCTTGGCTCTTTCCAGGCCTGAACTCTGGGGTTCGGGGAAGAATGACCATGGGGTCAAGTTCTGGAAACAGTGGACCTGATTCCTGGATGTGGGCGGCACTGAAACACCGGACTCCTGGAGGGAGTCAGGGGACAGGATGCTGGAGAGACGGAAGGTCCCCGAGGAAAGGAGGCCGAGGCCTGGGCGACGCTCTCAGGGTCCCCAAATTGGGAACGGGCCCCACGTGTGACAAGTCGCCCTCCTCTGCTGCGCGGGGAGGAGGGAGGCGGGCCGGGCCACGGACAGACTGTCGCATCCTCTCCCCACCACCCCAGGTCACCTGTCGCTTTGACATCCAGCTGGTGCGGAACGCCGCCCTGCGGGAGGAGCTCGATCTCCTGCGGATTGAGAGGAACCGCTATCTGAACGTGGACCACAGGCTGCAGAAGGTCAGTGACCCTGAAGCCCAGGCCCTCTCAGCCCAGCTGGGGTGGAGGGGAGGGGAGGCCAGGTCACCCTGCTTTCTCCAACACTCTGGCCTCAAATACGGAATCCACAGAGCCTTAGATTTATGCAGTTCAGAGGGATCGGAGACTCAGAATTCCAGGATGCCTCTAACAAGGAAAGCGGCCTCATTTAGATTTGCAGAAAGCGGAGATGTCATTTTGACTATTATCACCCGTGGCAACCACTGAGCAGGCCAGACCATTTGCATTACATGGGTTTCTCAGAAACCTTTGAAGTCCTTGAAGAGGCCACCTGTCCCCGCTCCACCTTCCCGTCTCTGCTGGTCAGGAGCAAAGAACAACCCGTCCTTCCTTTGCAAGACTGATAATTGGCCGTGTTTACTCTGCGTGTATGTCATTATTATTTTTACTGAAAATAATTTATTATTATGTTTGCTGAAAAAGGTACACTGCACATCGTGTCCCTCAGGACTCCAGTGCGTGTTTTTTTGGGAACAAGACCAATTTCTTCCATGAACACAGTGCAGTTTTCCAAGTCAGAAGCTTTAACAGTGCACCCATTCTGAACAGTCCATATTTAAAGGTCACGATCGTCCCAATGGCGTCCTTTACGGCTGATTTGATTTTAGGCTCCACACTCCGAGCCGGGACCCCACGCTGCGTTTGGTTGTCCTGGCTCTGCTCATCCGAAAGTGTCCCTGGACCCTTCTTCATCTTCGTGACTGATGTTCTGGAAGCCCCTAGGCCAGCTGTGTTGTACGAGGCCCCTCGATGTGGGTTTATCTGATCTCTCTTCATGATTTGATTCGAGTTGTGCATTTGTGGTGGAAGTCACGGAAGTGATATTGCGTCCTTTGTGAGCACTGTACCAGGAGGCACGTGATGTCAGTGCGTCCCATAACTGGCGACGCCGACTTTGATCACGTGGCGAGCCAGGTTTCTCCGAGATAGTGTGTTGCTACGTGTAACTCAGGGAGATTCCCGAAGACTTGTGAAAGCTCTGTTCCGGGACGCACTGCCAATCGGGTGCTTCAGCGTCCAAGGACGATTCTTGGCCGAATGTTCTTACTGTCATGGCTACCACGTGGTGATTTTCCATCTCTGTCATTCCTTCTACCTTCATAAGATGGCATTTCACTTAAGGAAGAGCTTCTTGCTGGCGCCTGTAGATTTATGTGTCATCAGTGAGCATTCTTGTATTCTCACTTTATCCTCTGGGTCATGATCCATGGTAGTTATTATTCATTATGATGGGCCGGCTCTCTCAGATTCGCCGAGTGGGAGTCCCTCCATGCTGGCTTCTGTGTGCTTTCCACAGGCTTGTCACTTTTCATTCCTTCCTTACTTTCTGGCTCAGGAAGCTATTCCTGTTTATCTTATATTTATCCTATCGCAACTCTCAAGTTAGCTATCTCTCCAAGGAGTCCTGGTTCTTTCCAGCGGGGAGTAGGTGTCGAGAGACCAAGATCCAGGCACTAAGAGTCCTCGCTGCTACCGGGGCGTCATTGCTTTGAGGCCCCTTCTCTGGAGAGAGGTAGGAAACACACACACACACACCCGCGGTTTAAAACCCAGCCATTCCTGCCGATGCTTCTCACTCCGATCCAGCGTCCCTGGGTTATTCTGGAAGAGTTCCCATTTCGCCTTCCTTCCTCTCTTCTGTTCCTGGCCTTAGCGCTTCCTCATTTGCTCCATCCCGCCGTGCACACAGAAGAGGTCCAGAATTTCTACAGCTGTATGCCATCCCTCCACCAGAAGGGTAGGGATCGATCTAGCTGTTCAAATGATTGCATTCGGAAGTCACTGGATTCGTTCCCTTTTTTTTTTTTTTTTGGTCTTCTGTGTGGTTATGTTCTTCCTTTGAAATAGTGAGGTTGGCTCATTTGTTTCTGTTTGTATCCAGTTTGAATTCTCTCCCCCATCATCGGTTTAGTTTTCTTTATGAATATGTAAACCATGAACAGGGTTCCCGAAGCCAAACTATTCCAGCAGGCATCGCGGAGGGACACCATGTCCTCACCGTCCCTCCCACTTCATTCCCACGCGGCCCCTGTGGCTTCTGAGGCAAAAGGAAACGCGTGTGCACGTATCTATGCATACACGTGCATAACGCATCCGCATATGTATGCATCGTGCATATATGTGTGTACGTATGCGTATGGATGTGTATCAACACACGTTATATATATGTAAAAAAAAAATATATATATATATGCAATTTCCTCCCTTCTTTCTCCTTTTTTACCCATAAATTGCCAAGACGTGGAACTAGAAAACAGATGAGCGTGGTCACAATAATGAAATTCACACGAATTTCTGAAACCACCCAGAGTAAGGAGGCGCTCTGAGTGCCGATCACCATAACTCCGCTGAGCCCGCCTGCAGCTCATCCGTCTGGCTCTCCGTTTACTTCCTACCTCTTCAAAATCCCTTTAACCGGCTGCTGCTAACTCAGGGGGGTCCTGTTTGCAGAAGCTCCACCTCTCACCCCGGAAACGCGGCAATGCGGGCGAAGGGAAGCGCGCCCCGCTCCCCCGGCCACCACGAGGTAGTAAGTGGCGTCTGCTTTGTTCTCTCGGCAGGAGATCGAGCTCCTGCAGCACACGATCAACACGCTCATCATCTCCTCCACCTCGGCCTACAGCGCCAGGTAGGACCCCGCGCGCGCGCGCGCGCGTCCTGGGCGGGGCCGCAGCGCTCGGGTCGCGCGCGGCTTTCACAGGCAGCAGCAGGAGGTTCCCAGCTCAGAAACTGACCATCGGAACCTACATTTTTGGTTCATAAGGTGCCCCTTGCTCCCCTGCACGGATGTCCCAGCTCCTTGGTGTACGAATTAACCTCTCGGGCCCCAGGCTGTTCCTGGAACGTAGCGCATAGTGATGTAGAGAGAATTAAGTAAGACGGTGGGTAACAGGGGGCCTGGGACCGGGGGACATCGGCACAGGAGAGCAGTTAGTGTTCCTTATCAGTACTGGTTGACAGGGACAGTCTCTCAGGCCACCTTCAGATAGAGAGACAGGAATGGAATCGAGAACCCATGCTGCTCTGATTATTGGCTCCCGTGTCTGTCCCTGTCGCTCTGTGTCCCTGTCCCTGTCACTGTGTCTCTCTGTCGCTCTGTGTCTCTCTCTGTCACTCTGTCTCTCTCTCTCTGTTGCTCTGTGTCTCCCTCTCTGTCACTCTGTGTCTCTCTCTGTCACTCTGTGTCTCTCTCTCTGGCGCTGTGTCCCTGTCCCTGGCGCTCTCCAGGGCTCCGTGCTCCCCCTCCTCCACCCCGGCTTCTCTCTGAGCATCAGCCCTGTTCTCTTGCTCCACAAGGCTGCCCACGTCCATTCACTGTCTCGTTTCCACGTCCTGACTTCTGCCGACTCGTGGTTCGCAAGTGCTCGTGACATCAGTTCTAGCCCAAATCCACCTGATGGTTTCGGTGATTTGTCAAGATGCACAAAGCAAAATTCACTATTTGAAAGTGTCCAACTCAGTGGAATTTAGTATATTTATCATGTTGCACAATCATCACTTCTGTCTAGATCGAGGACACTTTCATCACCCCAAAAGGACACCTGTCCCCATTAAGCAGCCACTCTCTCATCCCGTCCCCGGCCCCCGGAAACCACCAGTGCCCTGCCCATCTCCATGGATTTACCTATTCTGAGCGTGTCACATAAATGTGGGACGTTTGCTGTGTGGCTTCTTTCACTTAGTGGAAAGCGTTTGAGGATCGTGCACACAGCAGCGCGTATCAGGACTCCCTCCCTTTTTGTGGCCGATTCTGTAATTTCTTACCTGTGGTCCACCACGACCCCTTTGGAGCCCTGACTATCCTGTGACCTCTGCTCGTGCATAGCTTTGGCTTCCTCGTAACGTGACCTTTGGTGGCTTCTCGCGATAGCTGCTTCTAGTTTCCGCCTCCGGCACTCCCAGGCTTAGCATTTTCCGATTCAGTTCCTGAGAGAGAGAATCCGATTGGCCCGGCTCATCTTTTCTGCCAGGTCCCACAAATGACGGCCTGCCGGCCCTCTGTGCATTGCCAGGGTCTAGCCTCTGCCAGTACTGCACTTGACCGCAGCCTATCTGGGTCAAGGACAGGGTGGCTTCAGCTAGAAAGGGGGGCAGGCGTCATCACCGACGCGTCCTGTCAGACCAGCCAGTGTCTCCAGCGCCTCCTTTTTGGATGACCTGGGGCTGGTCACCTCCCCTCTCTGAGTCTCCACTATGACCTGGCAATAATAGTGATATCTACCTCAGAGGGGTACTATGCAGAGCACTCCCTGCGAGGCCTGGCTCTCAGGAAGTGGGGTTCCCTCTTCTCTGCCCCTCAGTTGGCATGGAGCCCAAGGCACAGAAAGAACTGTGAGTCCTAATCCCTGAGAGGCTGCCGCCAGAGGAGACAGGGGTCACCTGGGCCTGGCGCTGGTGGGTGCCGGGTGGGCATGCCACAGAGGGTGGGTGACCTGAGGAAGCCTTCAGGGACTCTGGTAGAGCAGGAAGCTGGTGCCGTGGATGGAGGCCACCGGGGTCGGCAAAGGTGTGGCTGGGAACTAGAGCTGTCCGTGGACAGGGCCCCGAGGAGACTGGCTGGCTGTTCTCCTAACCTAATGACCTCTGACTTTTGACCCCGTGACCTGTGAAGTACACTTGGGAAACTGAATTTACAGTTGGCTGCATTATGTTTAAAAGCTTGGAAGCTACATTTTCAGATGAGCAGGCTGTGGGGGGGGGGTGTCAGTGAATGAGACTTCTAGGGTATCCCCACTGTCCTGACAGGATGTCCCCTACCTATCCATCGTGGGGCCCTGAATGCTTCAAGCCTCTTATATTTCTAACCACATGGCCCCCAAACTCCACGCAATTGCCTTACTGCCTGGGTCTCCCCTCTGGAGCCTGAGTATGACCTGTAACTGTGTTTGCTGCCATCTTGCCACCTGTTCCATGGGCCACATAATGTCCCGGCCTCTTGGATGCCCCTGTGTGCTGTTAATCAAAGAAGAGGTTCATTTATTTGAGCAAAAGGATTGCAATCCCGGAGACCCAGATGCAGGTAGCAATGGGAACTGAGCTCCGGACAGAACCAAGACAGGCAGGTTTATAACGGCGAAACCCGCACAGTGTAATTCTTTCCTGCAAAGGAAGGATGGCTGGCTAGGTTCACGGGGCTCAGCGAGTTCCAACATGCAAATGAGGGAGGCGGAAATGACAAGATAGAGTCCATGTAGTCCTGTAGCAGCTGTCCTTCCAGATGTTTAGGGCTCCAGGCTGTTTAAGGCGCCGCCTTGAGCTGAGTTGAGCAACAGGTTTACCAGCTTAATGGCAGCTCTGAGGACCGAGGCTGCGATGCGCACAGAATCCACTTCCCCAGTCCCCTCTGGGCTCTAATTTAAGTGACTCTATTAGCGACGCTCATTCCATTTTGGTGTTTCCTCTATCAGCATGAACTGGCAAGGCCATCTGTCCCTGATGGGGCCTCGCACACCCCAGGCCCTGGTTCTGCCCCACAACGCCATCCCCACCCACTTTTTCTGCCTTCTGTGACCTCAGGCTAACTGCAGTCCGATTCTGCCCCAGGCCTGGGACCCCGAGGCCGACCCGGCCCCATTCGCCTCCCAACCCCAAGCTGGCCCGGGCCATCCCTGGGACCCCAGGGTGACCCCGATCCAACCTCCAATCTCCCTGAGCCGGGCTGACCTCTCCCAGGGAGGAGGCCAAGACCAAGATGGGCCTGCTGCAGGAGAGGGCGGACAAGGAGGTGTCGCAGAACCAGACGGAGGTGCAGAGCCTGCAGCGGCAGATAGCGCACCTGGAGCATCTGCACCGCTTCCTCAAGCTCAAGAACGACGAGCGGCAGCCGGACCCCGCCGTGGTGGAGAAGCGCGAGAAACGCGGTGAGGCCGGGCCGGGGCCGGGGCCGGCCTGCAGGGGGCGCTGGAGAGCGCGGTCCGCAAGGCCTGGCGGCGCCCACGCGGCCCCAGCCCCGCGAGCCCTGGTGATCGGCGTGCGCGGTGGCCTTGGCTCCCTGCAGCGAGGCCCGTCGGCACCAGTGGCCGGCGTGGACGCCGACCTCACTGTCCCCTCTCCCCTCAGCCAAGGAGGTGGCCGAGGGCCTCCGGAAGAGCTCCCAGGAGAGGCTGACGCTGCGCTACGAGGACGCCCTGAATAAACTGTCCCAGCTGACCGGGGAGAGCGACCCGGACCTGCTGGTGGAGAAGTACCTGGAGCGTGAGTGCCCGCGCGGGCGCCCGAGTCGGGTCCCCGAGGGCCCTGGGGACGCCACCTGCGCGGGAGGAACAGGGAACCAGGCCCTTCCACGCCCCTGTCGCTGCCGCCCCCTCCCCCTCTCCCACCCCCATCTCTGCCACCGCCGTCTCCGCCTCCTGCCTCTTCCTTGTTTGTCGCCTCCTCTCCGCGTCTGTGTCCCCTCCGAGGTCTGTATGTCTGTCTTTTTGTTAATGTCAGATTTGAATGGGCGCGTCTGCCTCCCGCCTCCCCCATCTCCGCTCCTCCTTTCCTCCCTCCTCCTCCTCCTCGTCCTCCTCCTTCTCCCTCTCATTCCTGGGCGGGTCACTCCCCACATCTGCCCCACTCCGTACTTCTCCCTTCGTGTCCCTGTCGCCGTCCATCCCGCTCCCGGGTCCTCCGTTCTCTCGACATTTCTGGGGCTCTGTGACTTTCTCTCTCGCTGTCTCTTTCTCTCACTCTGACTTGCTCCGTGTTTGTTTCTGTGTCCTCTTCCTCTGCCCGCATCTCTCTGTCTCCGTGTCTCTCTTCCCCGTCCTTCCGTGTGTCCCTGGCCCCGCCTCCCGGCCCTCCCCTAGTGGAGGAGCGCAACTTCGCTGAGTTCAACTTCATCAATGAGCAGAACTCGGAGCTGGAGCATCTGCAGGACGAGATCAAGGAGGTGAGTGAGCCCCGCTTGGCCTCCCTCGGCCCCGCCTGCGCTCCCCCGCGCCGCACCCATGTCGTCCCCTGCCCTGCAGATGCAGGAGGCCATAGAGAGCGCGCACGCCAACGAGGCTGCCCGGCGGTCGCTGCGCGAGCAGGAGTGGGCTGCGCTGCGGCAGCGCATGGGACAGGTGGGCGCGGAGGCCAACAGACTCGAGGCCCGCTCGCAGGACCTGCAGGGGCAGCTGGAGAAGCTCAAGGCCGGTGAGCGCTGGACCCACTTCACCCCGGAGCATGCGACGCCCGCATGAGGGGCCCAGAGCCCGGCTGGCCACTTGGAGGCATTCCGTGGGTGACCGGCTCTTCCATCCATCCCATACGTATCATCCATCCATTCACCCGTCTGTCCGTCTGTCCATCCATCCATCCATCCACTCATCCCTCCCTCCCTCCTGCATCCATCATCAAATCATCCTTCCATCCACTCATCCTTCCATCCACTCATCCCTCCATCCATCCCTCCCTCCCTCCCTCCTGCATCCATCATCCACTCATCCTTCCATCCACTCATCCATCCATGCTCCCTCCTGCATTGCATTCATCATCCACTTATCCCTCCTTCCATCCATCCATTCATCTCTCCATCCATCCCTCCCTCTCTCCTGCATCCATCATCCACTCATCCTTTCATCCACCCCTCCCTCCCTCCCGCATCCATCCATCCGCTCACCCATCCCTCCCTCCCTCCTGCATCCATCATCCACTCATCCTTCCATTGCAAAAGCCAGGCTGCCCTGGGTTTGAGTCCCGGCTCCAGGCCGTGACCCTTGCTGTGTGGTCCCCCCTGTGTGAGCCCCTCTGGAAACGGGGTGGTGCATGGGAATTAGATGGGGTGACGGATAGACAGCTGAGGGTGGACAGACAAGAGGGTGGCGGCGGTGATGGGGAGCGGGCAGTAGGAGCCTAAGTATCGGCAGATCTGCCTCCCCTGCGCCCCCGAGGCCGCCGTGCCCAGCCCTGTGCTAAGCGATGAGGACCCGCTGGGGAGGGGCTGGGAGGAGACTGACATGGACGCTGGGCACTCGTAACCCAAGGGCTAGGAGGAGGACGCCAGGGCAACGCGAAGCAGGAGGCGGCCCTGACTCAGTGCGGGGTGCGGGACCGCAGTTTGCAGGGCCCAGTGCAAACTAAGAGTTCCCAGGTGGCGGCAGCAGAGCATCCACCAAACGCAGGGCCCTCTGAGCGCAGAGCAGCAAGGAGGGCTTCCTGGAAGCCGTGGTGCTTGATGCTAACATCGAAGGATGAATATTTAAGGGAAAAGGAGGGGGGGGGGAAGGGTGGATGCTCCCGGTGGGTGGGGCCCAGGCCCGGGGCTGTGTTCATGGAGTGTGAGTTCTTTGTGCAGAGAGGCGGGTACGAGGGTGCAGCTGAGCACTGAAGAGGGCCCGTCCCGCGGGGCTGCCAGGCCGAAGCCTGGGGCTCTTTCCCGGAGGTGCCGGGAGCCATGGAAGGGCTGTGAGCTGGAGAGGGCGGTGGATAGGGAGGTTGCGATGATGAGGGGGACGGAGCACAGCGGTAAGGGACTGATGGGTACTGGGGGCGACGGATGAGGTGCGCTTGTCTGCCCTGGGGAGGAGAAGGGGGACCTGGGAGGGTGGGTTTGGGGGATGACCCTGGGCTCAGCGTGAGCTGTCTGGGGGGTGTCCAGGGAGGGACCCCAGGAGGAAACTGTGTGCATATGAGTCAGGAGCTTAGGTGGAGGAGGCACAGGGATGGTGGGCGGGGATGCCATATGGTTGGGTGCAGATTTAAGTCAAGGTCACGGGTGCCTTTTAATTTCATTAACAATAACCAGTTAACTAACTAAATACAGGGCCAGCCGTATGAGAAGGACCCCCGGCTCCACCAAGGACAGTGATTCGTCTAGTCGTGTGCACCTGGGGTCTGATGTTAAAACAAAAAGCAGCGTCAAAGCTGCCGTGACCTCCCCCGCCCCGTGCCACGCGGCGCGTGCTCCTCTGGGGTGACCCTGCGCTGTGGGTGGGAGTGGGGTCGGCGTGTCTAACAACCTAGCGAGGAGGTCTTGGGGGGAAGGGCCTTGACGGGTGCCTCCCACCTCCCTCGCTGTATGCCTTTCCTCCCTCGTTCCCAGCCCCATGCCAGGCTGTCTGCACTCGGGCAAGTCCCTCCCTGCCATCAAGGCTTGCTTCCTGTCTCCATAGGATGGGGGGCAGTGGGGACTGGAGGGGAGGGGAGGGGAGGGCTGGCACCCGGCGGGCACCGGGTCTGTGACAGCCTGTTCTTCTCACCCACAGATATCCAGCAGCTGTTCTCCAGGGCTCAGTGTGACAGCACCATCATCAACGACCTTCTGGGGGTCAAGACATACATGCGCGACCGGGACATAGGCCTCTTCCTGCGTCTCATTGAGAAGCGGCTGGTGGAGCTTCTGACGGTGCAGGCCTTCCTGGACACCCAGGTGGGGTGCAGGGCGGGGGGCCGGGAGCCCGAGCCTGGGGGCTGGGGGCGGGCCGGGCTGAGTCACGGGCCACGGGCCACGGGCTGACTCCCCTCCAGAACTACACCTCCAGCCTGGCCGACGCGGCGCTCCTGGTGCTGGGCCAGAGCGCGGACGATCTGCCGAGGAAGGTGGCCCTGCCGCAGCTCCCCGACAACCTGTGAGGCTCGGGGCAGCAGCGGGAGGAAGGCACGAGGGCCGGGGGGCTTGGGGGGCTCTGGGGGACCCGAGGGCAGGTGTGGCTGTGGTGGAAGACGGAGCGGGTGGTTTGGGGGAACCAGAGCATGTGGGGCTCCTGGGGGTGGTACGGGACGATGGCCCTGGGCAGACCAGAGGGGGACAGGGCCTCAGGGATGGCCAGAGCATGGCTAAGGGTCTCTGGGTATGACTGAGGAGCCATCAGCCTTTTGTGGTCCCTTCCTGTTTTCCCCCCACTTTAGGGATGAACCCCCAGGCTTCGAGGCCAAAGAAGAGTATCCTCTGAGCAAAGAGGAGCTGCTGGGCCACGTGATGAAGTCGGTGAGACCGGAAGCCTGTGGGGGGGGCGGGGCTCAGCCCTCCCCTGGGGCCCTAACCTGCCTCCCCCGCAGCTGGAGGCCCGGGAGCGGGCGCGGGAGCAGAACCGGAAGGAGCTGGTCCAGGTCCTGGAGGACAGTAGCATCCCGAACATTACCCTCCCCGGTACCCGCGAAGCCAGCTCAGGCGCAGCCCTGCTGACCGCCAAGAGCCCCACTAATGTCCCCGGATCCATCCTGAGCAACAAGACTAGCGGCATCCTGGCGTCCAGCGGAGGCCGTGCCACCAGCTCCAATGTGGCCCGTGTCACTTTTGGTGACCCCACCTCCACTGCGGGCTACAGGACTAGCTCCACCAATGCCAGCGAGGGCTCGAGACCCCTCAGCTCTAGCAGCTACCTGGGCTCCACGGGATACCTGGAGTCCAGCAGAGGCCGCGAGAGCCTCGGCGGCGCACAGAGCAGAGGCACCGAGTCAGAATCGAGCGGAGGCCCGGCGTCCAGCAGAGGCCACGTCTCGAGCACCGGCCCTGCCTCCAGCACCGGCCCGGGCTCCACCACCAGCAAGGACTCCCAGGGCTTCGACTAGGGCCCCCCGGGCTGCCCCTGGGCCCCGATGTCCCCGTGACTCTTCGTCTTCCTCTCCCAGTTCTGGCCTCCGCGCCTCTTTGCCCCGCATCTGTCTCCCCCCGCCCCTCCCTGCGTCCCTGTATCTGTTTCCACCGGCTCGTCATCATCTTGTCTCTGTCCTCTGGCCTCCACACCCTTTTCCCTCGTCTCTCGGCCCTCTCTGCCCCTCTCTCCGTCTCCCGTTTCTGCTTCCCCTTCTCCGATTCCCCCTCCTCGTCTCCCCACCGGCTCCCTTGCATCTCATGTCCCTGTCTGGGTAGCTTCCCACCCTCCCCAAGAGCCCCCAGCACTGACAAGGGGGGGAAGAATCGGGGCCAAGGAGTCAAGGTCGGCATGAGCCGTGACCATAGGAAATAAAGGCCAGAGCCTGACTTTTACCCCAGTCTGGTCCCAGGTGTGTGTGCGAAACAGCACTCGAGAGACACGGCTGGCCCAGGGGAAATGTCACGGCCCTGTTCATTCATTCGTTCATTCATTCACTCACTCGTTTTGTTGAGACCACTACATTTAAGGCTCTGCCATATCAGGCAGGATAGGTTGGGTTACGCTGCAGTAACAAACACCCCAGGATCTCAGTGACATAGCAAAGATTTATTACTCACCAGCGTTACTGGTCTATTGTGGGTCAGCCAAGGGCCCTGCTCCAGCCGTCCTTGTGCCTCGGGCAGATGGAGCAGTGTCTGTGTGGAGGGTCGCCAGTCTCTGGCCCTGGGAAGGAGAGAAAATGACAGAGCAGCAGTGACTCTTACAGCTCCCACCTGGCTACGATACACGTCACCTCTGCTCACCTGAGTGGGTCACGTGACCATGCCTTACTCCAAAGGCAGGTGAGAGTGGAGTCCTTCAGGATGTCTGCGGAGAGAGAGGGATAGGGGTAGGGATGTGTGAGACGGCCCCAGTGCCTGCCGTGGGGTCACAGAGAGAAAGCAGACCCTGTCCCTTTCCTGCTGTGGGAGTCAGAGGGATAACTCCCGTCACATGTAGTGACCGGAGTGGGTCACGTGACCATGCCTTACTCCAAAGGCAGGTGAGAGTGGAGTCCTTCAGGATGTCTGCGGAGAGAGAGGGATAGGGGTAGGGATGTGTGAGACGGCCCCAGTGCCTGCCGTGGGGTCACAGAGAGAAAGCAGACCCTGTCCCTTTCCTGCTGTGGGAGTCAGAGGGATAACTCCCGTCACCGTCACACCAGACGCCCCGTCAGAATGTAATGCGACCCAATCCAGACGGATAATCCATCATCCACCTCCCTAAACCAGGGAGGTGATGCTCTGGGTCTCCCTCTCCTGAGACGGGTTGGTGACAGTTCACACCTCAGGGAGGGTTTTTTTTTCTGTGAGAATAAAATGAATTGCTCCATGTAAGGCCTTGGGACGGTACCCGACACATAGTAAATGCCCCAAAGCGTCTGTGATCATGACTTTGACGATGATGAAGATGAAAATTAATGAGGTGCTTTCTCATCTATTCAGATAACCCAGGCTGGCTCTCCCCTGACCTGCCCCTGTCACCTGAGGAGGCCCGCTGAGGGGTCTGCTGGTAATGGTGTGACAACTGGCTCTTTAGGGGAAAAAAAAAAATCCTGATTCACAGTGTGCATCTATTTCTGTGGTATAAATGTTGCCATCTCAGATTTGTTTTGTTCCATAAAGAGACTTGCGTTTAGAGCTTGAGCTCTGGAAAGTTCTTAATGTACATATACAGTGTAAGAAAACAGCTGACCCGTGCAGCTCAATCTTTTTGGCAAAAAAAAAAAAAAAAAAATGGAGAAAAGACTGAATTAATTTCTACTGAATAGCAGTGAAGTTTGGAGCATTTAGTGATTCCCCTTCTGTGGGAGCGAGACGGGAACTGGCACCCCTGCACGCAAGCTGTGTGGCCTTGGTCAAGTGTCTTCACCTCTCTGAGCCCAGCTCCTCGTCTTGAAATCAGAGCTGGCAGTGAATCCCTAGAGGCGGCACAACGTGGTGGACAAATATGCCTGAGGCTGCTGTTTGGGTGCCAGGCCTTTCTCCATCATAATCTTTGTCAGTATGAAAAAAAAAAAAAACGAGGATAACCTAGGACGCTGGAAAACACGATCCTAGCGGAGATTCAGAGCGGGAAAAGCAATTTAAGGGGATCTGGCCAGCTTTTAAAAATAGGAACAGAATAGAATAACGGTGAGAAAAATCTGGAAGTCACTGGTAGACGGCGCCCAGCTTCGCACACTGATTTCCAGACCACTGACCACCAACACCGATACCCGTTCCTTTCAGCCGCCGGTTCCACCTCGCTCCGAAGCTCCAGGCGGCGCTGTCCTAGCACGATGCTGTCGCCAGGGGGCGCCCGTGCCCCGCCCTGAGCCGGCTCTGCATCCTTCTCAGGGTCCCGCGTCGCTCTGGGAGGATCCTGTTTACTGGGACTAGAAGCCCTAACTACGAATATTCCCCAGCAGAGCGCGGCAGGAGGGCTCGGGTCAAAGGGATGCGGCCGTCCTGAGATCAGGCCGTCTGTCCCTCCTTCATTTCACAGTGTTTATTAAATGCCTCTGCGCGCCAGACGAAGTTCCCGCTCCCATTTCCCATCCGGGTGGGGAGGGCAGACAAGGTGCCAAGTTCGCGACCCCCCAGCCTAGCCTGGTGCGGGACCGCCCGGGGGGCAAAATCCCCCGGCCACCGGCTGGTTGTGACCTTGAGCAGCCCTGTTAGCCTCTCTGTGCCTCGGTTTCCCCTGCTATAAAATGGGGCTCATAGCACCAACTACAGAGAGTTGTCGTGAGCATTAAACAAATTAATATTTGTACAGCGCTTTGAAGGGTCCTGGCATATATTTGTTACACCAATCGTTAAAAAACGCTCATTTTACAGCTGTGGAAACTGAGGGCCAAGGTCATGGGGTGTGGGGGGCAGGGAACCCTCAAAGCTATATCCTTCCCCCTCTTCGCCTGCACCCCCCCTCCCTTGGAGTTGAGCCCAGGGATTCTGACTTCCAGTCGGGGTCCTTCTCCGCTGCCCAGTGCTCCTTGGGGATAGAAGTGGACCTTGCTCCCTTTTCATGGTCTGGGGCTGATGGGGAGGGGCCCGGGTGCACCCAGATTCTAGGGGAAAGTAGTAATTTGGGGAAACGAAAGCAGGGAGGATGAGGGAGATAGGGCCACCTTGGAGAGCTCTCTCACCCACAGGGTGGGTCTCTTGGCCCAGGTCTTCTCAACACCTAAAGCAGAACTTTAGCAAAGCTTTGGGGCACCTCACAGCTGTGGGTACCCGCGAGGACTTGTGGGGTCTTTTTCTCTCCTTCCTTCCTTTATAAAGTCATTAAGGGATAATTTGCAGGCTGTAAAGTCCATCCATTGTCAGTGTACGTTCGATTTTTTCATAAATTGCCCAGTTGCACAATCATCACCAGAGACCAGTTTTAGATCATTTTCATGACCCCCCCCCCAAAGTTCCTTCTTGCCAGCTGGCAGTCAATTTCCTGTCCCACCTCCAGCCTCAGGCAACCTCTGATCTCCTTTCTGTCTCGATAGGTTAACTTTTTCTGGAAATGCCATAGAAATGATATCATACAATCCTATTTCATCTAAACTACTTTTCTACTGAAGGTGCAGATTACACAACCCAGCAAAATCACGCTGAATGACTTTTACCAAATATCCATCAGAGACCAAAAGCTTTTAGCAGCAATGTCTGCAAGGTTTACATGAGATACATAACAAGGGTCCCATAAATGAATTTAACTAAAATATAACCTATGGGGCAGTGAAAATGAAAAAATAATGACACCTGTGACCCACCTGGGTTAATCTTTCTCTGAGTGAAGCAAGACACAAAGAAATATTCAACATGATATTTATAGGTAGCATAGAAACCAGCCAAAACAGAAAATATGATATTTGGGGATATATGCACAGGTGGTGAACATAAAGATGAACAAGGGAATGAATCATCTCCAATGCATGATAGTGCCTTCCCCTTGGGGATTGGGGGACACCACCTGTAAAGTACAGACATCGATTGCCTGGCATTTCTTGATGAACTGTTTCTGGGCCTGGATGCTGGGTATGTGGTGATGGCTTTGTTGACTTTTAACTCTGTGCACATTTTCATACACTTTTGGATAGCCACATTTCTTAAATTTTAAACAAGTAAAAAGAAAAAAAAGAACAATTGGGATAGAGAGAGCCCCGCCTTTATAGATCTCTGTCTTCTGCATGAGAAAGCAGATTCTATGAGGGAAAGGCTTGTTTCATTTTTTCTTTTAGACTAGGCCAAATCAGTCCTGTGAAATGGTTTAACATTTTTAGACGGTTGGAAAAAAATAATCAAAAGATTCTCATGATATGTGAAAAAAAAAATGTTAAAAGCGTGTTTCATTGGAGTGGAGGAGATATATGTAATGATCAGCTCATGGTAAAGGGAACGTGAACTTTCGCCCCGACTATAGACGTGAACAACAAAGATCGTTGTTGGTAGAAAAGATGGTGAAACATGGACCAGAAAGAAAACTCACCTGTAATAAAGAAAGTGTCCAAACGCCTATGCATCTAATGACATTGTCTTCAGATACATTAAGCAAGAATTGATAAAACTCCAAGACTTTTTGATAATCCACTTCTAGAGTGGGATATTTATTATAAACTTCCTCAGCAAAAGCTAGAATGACGGTCATTTTGTTAGTAAGAGACTCTAAAACATTCAAGAAGCTTGACCATTCAGACATGTACTGAACTCTGAGCCCACCTGACACCGAGGAATGCGCAGTATTTTGAAACATACAATTTTTTAGAAAGCTGGCCATACACTAGGTTGACCATTTAGCACTTAACTGAGTTATAAAATCTCCCCTTATAATGCGTTTTAATCCAACTAGGGGTTTGCTTTATGTAGTAAGTCTAGAAATATAGTCTATTGCAGCCATGGACACCCCCAAAACATGTCATCAGGGAGTGAAAAACCTTGTACTTTGAGGGTTGCGTTTTCGGGACCATGGCCTTTGTTCCAGTGACCCTGAAGTTGCTTGTGCTAACTCAGGGAATTTCATCTACTTCCCAGAGAGCAGTGGGGAAGGGGAGAAAAAGGGAACATGGCTAAGAGGAATAGAGTGATAAACACTGTCCTCTCTTTGACAGCTGTCTGGAAATTCATGCCCGTGAAACCTGCCCTCCTTACTGATCAGAGCTACGTGTTCTGCCTATGAGAAAAACTAGGAAATGCACTTAAAAACATTAAACAGTATTAACTCTGGAAAAACAAATCTATGTACCTTTGGTAAAGAAGATTGGAAGAACAGACGTGGCTGGGCAGTTGATGGAATCAGCCCCAAGAGACCAACATGCGAGTCAGAACAAGTACCCTATCTCCGTATCATAGACTCTGACCACAATGCAGTCAAATCGTGACTAGCAACAATGGACGGAAATGGTATATGGAGCGAACTTAACCCAAATCTAAGTTAAACATGGCTCAAACAAGGTTTCATATTGGTGAGACCATATGTACGTTAAGTGAATTGTAATGAAGCCACTACATATTAAGCTTTATGTGGCAGAGCTAAAATGGTATACAGAGAGATAGCCATCATTTTATAGGATTTTATTAGAAAAGTAACACTGGAAAATGACAAATTTCAGTCCCAATTGAAGGATGAGACAATGATACTGGCAGCTATCATAACATTTACTGTGTTTCTCTCCTACTGTGTACTCATTTGTGCCCCATAAGTGAAGAGATGGAACTGAAGGCTTTCTCGTGTCTATCACAATCAGAGTCTCTCTCCAGGTGTGGTCTCATGTGTAACTTAAGAAATGAGTGTTTCAAGATTTTTTTCCCACATTCCTTACTCTTATAGGGTGTCTCTGCAGTGTGAGTTCTTAGCAGGACCATGAATTTGACACAACATCAAAGGTTTTCCAAATTCTTTAGAGTCACAAGATTTCTTTAAGTGTGAAAATAAACATCTACTAAAGATGAATGAAGATTAAAAGGTTTTCAGACCTTATCTGCACAGGCTTTCTTTTTAGTGTGACTTTTCCCAATTCTGTAAGATACATGAGTTCAAGGAAGACTTTCCTCTGTAGGTTAACTTATTGAGCCCCCTACCAACAGGTCCTCTTTACCCTTTCAGTGTTTTGAAAAATGAAGATTTTCCCACATTCCTTTCATTCACAGGGCCTCTTTCAGCCGTGAGTCTTTAGATGGCTTTTAAGTCCTGAATTACTAATGTAGGCTTTTCCACATTCCTTACACTTATAGGGTTTCTCTCCCGTGTGCATCCTTGTATGTTCAATAAGTTTTGAGGACCGGCTGAAGGCTTTCCCACATTCCTTACATGTATGGGACTTCTTCATAATGTGCTTTATTAAATGTTTATTAAGGTGTAAGGAATAGCGGAAGGCTTTCCCGCATTTCTCACATTCATAGGGTTTCTCTCCGGTGTGAATTTTCATGTGTCTCATAAGGAATGAATGATAAACATAGGACTTCTTACAATCTTGACATTTGTAGGTTTTCTCTCCAATGGTAGTGCTCCCGTGTGAATCAGAATTTGGGACGTTGGCAAAGGTTTTCTCACATCGATTATTCTCATTATTCGACTCTCCCGTATAGGATTGCATCCGCACGGCGTGGACTGAGTTCTTTTGAAAGGTGTTTTCAGATGCCTCAGACTTGTACGTTTTTTCTTTAATGCGAGTCCTGTGTGCCCTAAGGACGCAGTCTTCAGTGGAGACTTTCCCAAATGGATCCCATTCGCGAACGTTCACCCCCACGTAAGTTATATCATGTACACAAAGAGCATGGTTCTGATCATCAGTCCGTGTGTTTGATTTCGGTTCTGTTGGAGTATTCACACTTGGAACCAACTGGAGGCTCTGCCCCAATCCTCTATCATATTTGTTGTTTTTATAGACTTTTTGGTTACTTGTTAAGATACGATTTTTTTCCGAAAGATTTTGGGGAACATATTTTCTTGTGGAATTAAGAGTATCTCTATCTGTCTGCACACCTGTTTTCAGTCCCTTTGGGAATACAACCCGTGCGGGCACAGGCTTTGAGCTTGGCTTCAGTTTTTCTCTCATTTCAGGATATTCACAGACCAGAGACTTTTTCTCTTGGACAACTGCACCTTGCTTCAATTTTTGTCCCCTCTGCTGGTGAGGTTCCGTTTTGTGGCATTCCGAGTCTTCTAACGTGGAGGGTTGGGAATTGTTGCTCGCGAGACACAGTCTGTTGGCTTTATGAAGTGTCTTTTCAGCAAGAACGTCCCGCCGAGGGACTGAGTCTTTGTTTTCTCGTTGAATTACCCCATCTGAAATAAAGTGGCACAAAAGTTGTTTGTCGAAAGTAAAGGTGGGCTGGAGAAGATAAAACAAGTAAACATCCATGTGGGTTTCTTTTTAAATGGTCACTTGACAGATGGAAGGCAAATGTGGAAGGGAGGAAAGCGCGAGTCAGCAAGCAGAGAGAGAAAGGTTAGGGGCCTGGACGGTGTCGGAGTGTGACTGCGGTTAAGACAGCAGTTCGATACGGAGGGCAAGTTGCTAAGAAATGGTTCTGTCGAGATCGAGGGTGTGATCGGGAAAGCCAAAGGGAAGAAAATTGGACGAAGGGTTTGTTAAAGACTAAAGTTGTTTCCCTCCCCAAATTCACACGTTGAAGCCCCCGCCCCCAGTGTGATACTATTTGCAGGTGGGACCTTCCGGAGGCACTTAGGGTTAGACGAGGTCACGAGAGGACAGTCCCCAAGATGGGATTAGTGTCCTTATAAGAGAAATAGAACAGATCTCTCGTTCTCTGCAAACCAGGAAGTAGTTTTCACCAGGAACCAGATCTGCCAGCACCTTGATCTCGGGACTTCCCAGCCTCCAGAATGTGAGAAATAAGTGTCTAAGCCCCCGGTCTGTGGTATTCTGTCACATCAGCCTGAACAGATAAGACAGAGTCCACGCGTAATTTTAAAGTTGTAAGAGAATAGGTCTTTCTCTGAGAAGGGGAAAAAAGATATGAAAATATGGAAAAAGGTAAAAAAAAAACAAAAAACAAAAAAACACAACAACAAACTCTAGGTACCTGACAAAGCACACACCTTGGCAAGCATCAGCTCTCCTCACAGATGAAACGGATTCTTTTTTGTTTTAATCGAGGTGAAAGTCACACAACATAAAATTAGTCATTTTCAAGTGCACTATGCAGTGGCGTTAAGTACATTCGCCACATGGTATGACCATTTCCACAGAGTTCTGCATTTGTAGCACCCCAAAAGGGAACTTCGCATTCATGGGGCGGTCACTCCCCGCCCTCCCCCGCTGCCTGCCCACAGCCACTAACCTTCCCATCTCCACGGGTCTGTCCATCCGGGACATTTCATACAGATGGAACCATATAACGCATGCCCTCTTGTGTCTGGCTTCTTTCACTTAATATAATGCCTTCAGAGTTTGTTCACATTGTCACATGTATCAGAGTGTCACGCCTTTTTATGGTTAAATAATATGCCATGGTCTGGATCTACCACATTCTGTTCTGCTACTCATCTGTTGATGGACATGTGTTTTCCCCCCACCTTCTGGCTACTGTGAATAGCGCCGCGATGAACACACGAGCTTCTGTGTTCGCACACTTATTTTCAGTTCCTCTGGGTGTACAGCAACGAGTGGGGTCGCTGGGTCATACGGTAGTTTAACTTCTATATCGAACTTTTTGAGAAAGCGCCACACTGTTTTCCACAGTGGATGAAATGGATTCTTACTTAACGTTTCCACATCATTTGTAAAATCCTTTCTCGTAAGGACTCGGGTGTGCCTGGCATTCTGACACACGAGTGCCCAGGGTCTGAGAACAGCACGTTCCCAGACGTGTTTCTTCCTCCAAATGCAGAGCAGGTGGGGCCAACATCCTGGTCATTGGGGAATGGGAGCGTGCATGACGTAAGGAAACGGTGCCAGGAATTTTCATGACACGGGGCGCGTGCTTTGGTCTGCAGGGGTTCCGAAGCTGAGGAAGTGAACTGCTCACGAATGCCCTGAATTTCCACTTTTCTCACTAATGCACTAACTTGGTGCTCCACACTCACCCACTTAAGGACCCTCAAAGGCTATTAACTACGAAGGGAATACAAATGCAATCCGACAGACAGATGTCTGTGTCACGAGAGAAACCCCACACCTCCTACAGCAGCAGCCGTAATTCTGGGGCCTGACAAGCTGGGTCCCATTGTCACCTTCGTCCCATCCCGTGGTGGATGGAGGGCCGGAAGGGGCACTTACCTATGGATATGAGGTGCCTGCAGTTTTCCAACATGACTTCTCTGTAGAGATTCCTCTGCTCAGGGCCCAGCAGGGCCCACTCCTCCTTGGTGAAGTTCAGTGCCACATCCTTGAAGGTCACTGGGTCCTAAAAGCACACATCCATTTTGGCTCAGTGCAAACTCTCAGGAGTTGAATTGCGTCCCCCTCCCAAAGATACGCTGCAATCCTAATCCCCCGGCCTTGAATGTGACCTGATTCGCAAAGAGGACCGCTGTAGATATGAAGGAGTTAAGATGAGGTCACACTGGTGTCCTCTTGAGAAGAGGAAATCCAGACAGACAGAGGGACCAAGGTCACAGGGCAATGACAGTGGAGACTGGGGTGACGTCTACGAGCCAAGGAGAGGCCACTGCAAGTTGTCAATAAAACTGTCCCACATTAATTGGAAGGCAAATGAGGCTTGATTTGCCAACGTTTTATATGCTTTTATTCCTCGTTCCGATATTTGCACTCGTGGGATTACAAAACTACCCTGGCCAAAAAGTCGTGACATATACATAGGATTATTTATTGACATTGATTTATCACAGCAAAAGACCGGAAACCGCCCCCAAATATTCCACAACGGGGACTGCTTAAAATCTATGCCGCATCCACAAAACAGAGAACTACAGAGCCGTGGATGAGAATGAGCGAGATCGCTTCCGTCCGATGCAAAGTGGTATCATCACGTGGTCTCGGGTTCCGATCTATACTTCAAATGGAAAGAACAAGAAAAAGGCCAAGCACATGTCCTGTGAACCACAGACTTACGAGCGAGAAACAGTAAAGGAGAAGGGACAGAAGTCAGATTTGTCGAAACACGACCTCATTATATAGATTTGAATCGGGAACCAGATTCTCTTCACATATTCAAAAATAAAAAAAAAAATTTCTAAAATGGAAAAATTGAAATGAATGAAGCATACATCAAGCTGGCAGGTTAATCGCCGGGAGTAAAAAGTTCATTTGAGAGACTTTACAACCTTAGGGAGTAAGATTTGATGGTTACGAAAAGAAAGGAAACCGGCAGGGGGATTGTGTTAATATTAGGAAGCAAGATTTTTTAGTCCAAGAAGAAAGATTCAAATATAAAATTTAAAAAGTTCTAAAAATGCCAGCTTTATGATAGAATAGAAGCACGAGCACGTGACCAGTCTACGCAAAGAAAAGGGTTAGAATTAATATGCAGGCAGCAAAGAGAAATGGCTGAGCCAGGAACAGGAAGTATGAATGGGAACAGGAAGTATTCTAGCCTGTGGTGCCAGAAAGCAGACAAACCATCCCAGACTCTGCTAAGAGGAGGTAGAGCCAGCTGCACGAGTCTTCCAAGAGTCTTCCAACGGCTTAATTTAGAATATTCTCGACCACGAAATCACGAGATTCATTGAAATACACTTGAATACTATAAATCCATGAACTCACAATGATACCCAAAAGGAAAAGTCAAACGGGGAATAAGTGAGCACTTCTCACCCCTGGAGGAAGGCTTCGTCCTTATTCTGAAACTTGGTTAATAGAGAGGCAGCATTAAGTCTTCTCTCTGCCTTTCTAGTAGAAGGGTTACTTGGGAGTAACTGAATAACAGGAAACTTTACAGGATTCCAGCTAAAAACTTAGAAGAAAGGACTGCATCGAAAAGCCACTGTTTTGCAACCCAATTGAAAGAACTGATTCAAGAAATAAACGTTAATGGTGCTGAGACGCGGAGGTGTCTTATATAATGGCAAGAACCCATGTGTTTATACCAATGTCATGAGTTATGAAGGACACATCACCCGAGGTGCACCACTGCAAAAATGTCCACCCTGACTTCATCACGCCCTTAGTTCTGGCTTTTGACCGTGCACGGAGTAGTTACACAGATGGGGCCTTCCACTGCATTAACCCAGTGACTTCAACAGGTCAAGGTCATGAGCAAAAAGGAGGCAAGTTCCAGTTATACTATCAGACCCAAAAGAGAAAAACCATCTATGCAATGTGATTTTTCTTTTATGATTTTTTTTTTCCTCCCTAACTCACACAAGTGGCCGATTTCCTTAATCTGAAAACCTACATGTTTATTATAATATTTAAAAACTTACCTTGTAAGTTTCATAGACTCTTGTCTTTGTGAATTTTTTTCGTAAAGTCACATAGTAAGCACATGCGGATTAAAACTTAATTTTATTATATGTATTCTGCCATGTAATCTTACAACCGATCCCTTCGGTAAAAAGCTCAGTGGTATAAATAGCTTTTCTAACGTTGGTGCTAAATTATGGAAAGCGTCAAGCACACACGACATAGTGAGAATAAATGCAAGCAAGGCCTGGCCCACCATTCATTCAGCTTCCACGCATTGTCCATCTCCCAGCATCTCCTCACGTCTCTTCATTTTCCTCCTAATGCGTGACTGTAGACAAAACTCCAGATTGTTAAGGGTGGAAAATTTCCAAGTGAGGAAACTAGCTAAGTCAGCTACAGGGAAGAAATATCTTTAGATATCAGAAGTTGTCCTACTTGCTTGTGTGTGGTTAGGAAGTGCATTGTATAAAATATGTAGATGGCCAATGTCTACTTCTGTAATCCATCTACTTGTTAATTAAGGGTGTTGTTCCAGGCAAAGATATGCTAACAGCCAACTTCCGCTTCTGTAATCTGCTGGCTTATTCAGGGGACCACCAGGTTATGGTCTTGAGCTTTATCAGCTGCCTGCTCTGAAAACTCTGAAAGCTCGGGGCTGATCTCCTCTAAGCCCTGTGTGGTAGAGAGTCAGTCGCCGGCCGACTAATAAAGGCTCATAATTAATCTCAATTGGCTCCGTGGGTCTCAGAATCGTTCGCGCCATAACAAGATATCCTGGCATTTCATTCTTAATACCGTCATCATATATTCCTAAAGCATGAAGCATCTTTTAAAATGTGATCACGACATGACCGCACAGAGAAATGCTAGCAGTCTGTCTTTATAGAATCAAATACCTGGGCTAGTTTCCAAAACAAGACCCACATATGTTTTTGGTCACTTAAATCTTTTAAAACCTATGACAATAACTCTGCTGAAGAGTGTAAAAGAAACTCATGTTCGTGAAATAAAGGTAAAATAAGAAGCCCTGCCTAAAAAGACAACGCAAGGAACTATAAAAATGGTAGCTACCAGGAGGCCAGGAGTTGAGAACAGGGTAAACTGAGGCAGGGTGGAGAAAAGATTTCAAAGTTTTCCCTAATCATTTCGATTGTTTAAACACGTCGATCTATTGCATATTAAAAAAATAAATTATCACAGAAAATACAGTTTTCAATGAAATAATGAATTTACAACTCAATTGACGAGTTTGACTTTTTACTTTGAAGTCATATTTTCCAGCTGTTACAGAGGAAACCACAAGCCCTACAATGCGTCTCTTGTGTTAAAAGCACATGACACCAAACCTAGATTTCATAGCCAATCTAACTGTGGCTTAATTTCTCTCAGAAATGTAATCTTAATCAACCAGTCTTGAAATTTTCTGAACGAGCACCAGGGAGGTAACCTGGAGGTAGGCTCGACCTTCTCCTATGGAGAAACAATCTGCATGATAAAACTCCTTCCCATTTTCTTTCCCCAAGAGCAGATGCCGCCCCCAAATAATCCTTTCTTTCCTTATGTCAATAGCTCCCTTGTCCCACCCTGCTTCTTTCAAAACCCTCCCATTTGGCGTGCTGAATCATTTCATTGAAGACAGAACTTTACTGGTATTTGGTTGAATTTTAACACAGCTAAAATCAGAACTCCTTCTGTTAGAAAGAGTTCATTTCAAAGTTCTCTTGGCTCGACCAACCTGTGTTCTTCCAGTCAGAACGTCATGCCCTCACCTTAAATATACCTAATTCCATTTTATTAGGAAATATGCAACCATACTAGCGTGGTGTTAAAAAATCCAAAACATTCATGTTGGTTCCCACAATCTCTCTGGATTTACTACTCCGGAGTTCTCTTTAACAAAACAAAAAGGAACATGACACTCACATAATTAGTTATTAAATGCAAAACTAGAGATTTTAGGCAGCCCTCACATTGCGAAATGATGTGTAAGGCAATTCTGCTGTCCGTCAGGTGGAGATATCGGACTGCAAAGTCAAAAAACTTTTTTACGTTTTCTTTCTCCTTGAGTAACCTTGTTCTCCAAAAAAATCACAGCTTACCCAAAAGTTGGCTGTTTGACGTCAGAACGGTAAGAAAAGAATTTCCCATTCTTGCCTGGGGCATCTAAGTCCCGCTGAGGAAGGAGCTTCAGTCTGCAATTTGCATTTCAGAGAAGGGGCTGAGAACGCCGCGTTCCCCAGCTACGGAGTTGGTGGTTTCCAAGGAAACAGCCAGGCCTGAGGATGAGCCCTGGGCGCACAGCTCAGCCCGAGCCTATCTAAGCACCGGCTTCATTTAAATTTACCCTTTCCCTCGATCCTACGATGACCGCCACCCTCCCTCGATCTGGCCGGACCTCCCGCGGGTACCTGAACGACCAAAGTGCCACTTGCTCAGACCCTGGGGTTTGCTCCTGACAACTCCCCTGCCTGTCCCCCTCACCTTAGCCTTTTGTGAACTGTCTCTGCGGGGTTCTCAGTTCATAAAAAGGAAGAACCTGCCGCCCATCCGACCCAACTCGATCCGCAAAGCCCTTTCTCTAGAAGAATCTAACGGGCTGCCTTAGGAACTTTCCAGCTCTCCCTCATCACAGCACTTTTAAGGGTTCCGGTAACAGCCCTGGCGCTGCACGCGGACCCTCCTCGCCCTCCCCCAGGTCAGGAGCGATTTGCAGGGTTGCAGCGGACGAGGTGAAGGGCGCATTTAGGGCGCCCCACGCGGGCGGCTGGCGGCTCCTCATCTCTGCCCTGGCGGAGTATGGGCTTTTGCAGAAAGCTGCTCCCAACGCCTCGGAACCGACCCGGCGGCCCGCGGTGTGGACCGGTGCAACGACCAGGAGCACTTACCATTTAACCAGCACCGGCTTCCGGACGCGTCTGCGGCTGGTCCCAACGAAGGGCTCATTCCAGATGCTGAGGCAACCAGGCCGGAGCCCGCTTCCTAGGCCGGTTGAAAGTTATTCACTTCCCCAAACGGCCGCCAACCAATCAAAATACACTTCCCGTCTGCGGCAGGAGCATGAGGAAGCGTAAAACGCGCATCAATGGAAAAGACCCACATCCGAAGGGGCTCAGCCTTTGGATGTGAATCCGCTGGGCCGGTGCCCGCACCGATAAACGCTACTTCCTGCTTACTGCCTCGGTGACCCCTCTCTCAGGCCCAGGACCCTGGGACACCAGCACCAGCTTCTGGATGTGATTGCGCCTGGCACGGCCCAAGAGCTCATGCCAGATACTAGAGTGTGTTGCAGGGCTGTAGAAGGGAGGGATGGAAGCGTTCCAATAAGAATAATCAAATAAACCAATGAAGATACCCCCGCCCCGGCATCGAGGGCAGAGATGGGATTCTGTACCTGCTCCAGACTCCTCCTCCAAATGGACATGTTAACGGGGAAGGGGGGGAGGGGTGTGCCTGCACCCCAGCCCTCCCGCAGGACCCAGCCTCCAGGAGCCCTGAGTCTGATCCCACCCCAGCAGATTTGCATTTCCTGCAGAACTTGCTCCCCAGACACCCCTGATCCTTAGCGGCGCGGGACTTTCCCACGTTGGTCCTGCCTCCCAGCTTTTGGCCCTCGCTGTCACCTCAGCAGGCCGTGTATATCCCCAGGCTTGGCACCTGACCCGGAAGAACACTCTGGAATAGTTCTCACAGGCTTTCTGTGTTTGGTCTAAAGGCCTTCTCTTCACAGGTTTTATCTGACAAGCCCCAGTGGAGTCGCTCAGCCGCTGGGCTGCTCAGCCTTTATCAAGGACAACAGATGAGGTGACATCTCCACAAGCCTTTTTTCACTCCTCTGATTTCAAAACAATTTTACCTTTAAAAACAATTCCATTTTTTGTCCTAAACAAGTGGATCCGAAATCACATCAAAGCAATGCATAATCATATTTATGAAATGTGAAATCACATCAAAGCAATGCATAATCATATTTATGAAATGTTCCTTCTTTTCGAGTAGTGCAATTCTCCGCTAAAGCTTACGCTGTATAATGTTAATATAGACCTCGCTTTTTTGTTTTTTTTTGGGGGGGGTGGGTTTTTGTCAAAGTTTATTTGAGCTAAACTGACAACATATGCAAAAGAGCACAATCGCAAACGCTCAGGATGTTTCTTATTACCAAGTGAAATTCAACCACGTGCGTTTGAAGATCTAACTGGCTTTGCTAAGCAATTCATGAATGGGGCACCATCTCACCTGGCAACTGGACGGTTGTCCAAAATGGAAGGCTTTTCCAGGCAGAAAGAGGGTGGGATTACGTTAAAAGCTTTTCGTTTTAGAGCAGTTTTAGGTTTACAACAAAATTGAGAAGGTATAGAGATTTTCCATATACTTCTTCTACCCCGCCCCCATGCATAGATAGCCTCCCCTCTTACCAACAGCACTCACCAGAATGCTTTTTTAAAAAAAAAAACCAGAATGACCCTGCCTTGACACACACATCACAATCACCCAAAGTCCATAGTAAAATTGTGATAAAGTATACATAACAAAAATTTCTGTTTTAACCATTTCTAAGTGTAAATTAGGTGACATTAAGGCTACGTACACTGTTGGGCAATCATCACCACTATCCATATCCAGGACCTTTTCATCTTTCCAAACTAAAATTCTGTAGTCTTTAAATCCTAACTCTCCGTGTCTCTTCCCCTTAGCCTCTGGTAACCTCTATTCTACTTTCCATTGCTATGAATTTAACTATTCTTCCTACCTCATAGAAGTGGATTCATACAATATTTGTCTGGTTTAATTTGTCAACCAATGGTTGTTGGCACCAGTTCACGGCCAACAGGAAGCCCCAACAGGAATTCTCAATTTGTGGTAAAGTGCACACAGCTCAATTTCCAAGCAGTATAGACCTGGAACAGGAGGGCCATGAGGCGGCCTCCAGGCCTCAGTGACATCTGCCAGGGACACACAACCCTGACTCTTAGGTGAAGAAAGGATGCACAGCCCCACCAGGAGCCAACTTATATAGGTAGAAGGCCATGGCCCTGGTCCCTGATTGGTCCACTCTCATGCAAATGAGAACTTCAAATCCTCACAATTTGATTGGTTCAAAAAGCACTGTCTTGATTGGTCAGAATGGAGCTGCTCTGATTGGTCAGTGGAGATGCTAATGAAAATATAGCTACTGCACGCCAATTGGATAGGAAAAGTCTCAGTCCTATTGGTTGAAATATGATTGCGGGAACTCCTATGTAAGGCTTGGCCTAGGAACACAGGGCAGGCAGACAGTTCAGTGCAGAAGGCAGGCAGTTTAGTGTGGTCTTCCTGAAGAGCTTGTGGGCGAGGCCATTACTTAGTAATGGCTGTTAGGCTCTGTTTATAAAGTTGAATCCAGTTAGCCACCAGAAGCCCTTCTCAATAGGTGTATTCACTCTCTGGGTCAACACATTTAACACAGTATTTTCGAGGTTCATCTGTGTTGTAGCATGTATCATGTATCCATTCTTTTTTATGGATGAATAATATTCCATTGTATGGGTAGACCACATTTTGTTAACCCATCTATGAACATATGGATCTGTTCACCTTTTGGCTATTGTGAATTATGCCTTTATATGTTGGTGTATTAATATACCAGTTTTTTTTAAGTTCGTGTTTTTGTGGTATAATTTATTTTAAGGTTTTTTTTTCCTTCCACTTTTTGGTATCACTTTATTTAAATTGCATCTCTAATAATCATTTTAATTGAAGGTCAAAAATCCTATCTGACAAGTTTTGTCTATAAAGTGTTATCCCTTCTCTAATAAAATTTAATATAAAATTCGACTCTGACTCTGGGTGCGTTTGAATTCTTTCTTGCACTCGGCCGAGGCCCCTCGCTCGGTGCAGGGCTCCTGTGGGGACTTTGCCCTGTGTGCACCAGTGAGGTTTGCTCAACTCACACAGCCTCCAGAAAGCACTAATCACTACTGTCAGGAAGCTGAACTTCTTTTCTGTTTTTGTTTTG